TTACGCACTGGTGTTTCCACAGCACTTGGAATTTTTAGTAACAAATTTCATAGTGTACTTAAAGTTACTGTTTCAAGGAAAACATAGAAGCCTTCCAACCACATAGGTCTCCTTCTCCTCACTGTGCTGGTTCATCTGGACTGGCGGGAGAAAGCTGGGACATTAGTGAAGCACACTGCTGCGTGTGTCTGTGAGTTGCAGGGTGAGATCTTGGAGGCCATCTCTGCTCCTGGCCCCTTCCTCTCCGGCTCTTTCAAGTCCGCTTCCGGCTGCTGAGGTGAGCCACTTTCCTCTACCACATCCTCCCACCAGTGCATCCCTGCCTTGGACCGAAGCCTCTGAAACCGTGAGCCGAAACGAACCTCTCCTTATTTAAACAGGGTGTGTCAGACTCGGCCTCAGCCACAGAAAGCTGATGCATCCCTTGCTCATCATATAGGAGTGATCTGTGTGATATCTCCGCATCTAAGGATTGATTTTTATGCATCAGTTTGCCTGGATGAGAGCCATCCAGATTAAACATGATTTCAGGGTGTCCTTTTGAGGATGTTTCTGGGTGAGACCAGCATGGACTCAGTGAGTTTATTGCCCTCCCGGTGTGGAACAGGATCCAGTCCACTGAAAGTCAGAACAGAACAAAGGTCAGAGGCAGGAGGAGTTCACCCTTTTTGCTTCCTGCCTGTGTGAGCTGGGACACTGCACCTCACCTTAGCCCTCAACTGGGATCTGCATCACTGGCTCGCCCAGTTCTCAGCCCGCCCACTGACACCTAGTTACACCAACAGCTGGCTTGGGTCTTCGTCTCCCAGACACCAGATTGTAACTTCTCCATCTCAAGATTTGCATGGACCAGTTCTTCGTGATAATCTGCAAATCGAAAACTGCTAATTCTGCTGGCCTGGCTGGAACAGCTTTCACTGGACTCCCTCTGGACAGTGTTATTTTTATCTCAACACTTTGGCACACTGTAGATAAAAGGGACACTGTTGTGTCCACCACACAGCTCGCCACTGTGTTGCTGTTCTTTTTCTCCTAAACCTGCACCTTTCTGGTTGCATCGCTTTGTGCAGACTGGGGACTTCACTGTTCAGGGCAGGTCTGCCGGCCAAAGCTTCCTTCCTTTCCTTAATAGGAGGCTCTTTATCTTTTCCCTTATTCTTGAAGGATATTTTTCTGTGCTGTAATAGAATTCTTTGTGTGTCATGTAGTCTTAGATTGTATTGTGGACTTCTGAGTGGGAAACCCTGGATCCTGTTAAAATCCTCTGGGTGAGATTATTTTTATCAGTCAGAGAACTCGATTAGATTTAGACCTCGGCATCTGTCTTTCCTCCAGTGGGTGACATTTTCCAGTGTCAGTTTGGGTTTGCAAGCCTTGGATAAGCTTTCTGGACCTGCTCCTCGGTGCGCCTTACTCAGTTTAACCTGGAACTCAGATTCCTGGTGCAGCTCCCCGCCTCTGCTGTGTGGGCAGTGAGCCCGGGACCTGTGTCTGAATCCCCATGGTGGGTTGTGCTGGCTTCACGTCTTTCTTCTTGAGGACGGGCCTGCAGTCTCCATAACCCCACAGACCCCCTTCCTGTTTTCTAGCCGGAGAGACAGTTCTGTCCGAGTTTTATCTTCCCATGCAGTTGCACAGTTCCATGCGACACTTGGCAAAAGCAAAGGGAGAAAAACTTGCAGCGTCCTGCGCAGCCTGTGGAGGGCAGAAGGATCCCGCCTCGCCACCTTCTCCCATGCAGCGAGACTCCTGTCCGCTCAGTGCTTCGGGCCACTGTCCCACTGCTTGCTTCCACCCTGGGAATTCAGTTCCGGGACTGAGGTGACCTCGCGCAGATGCAGAAGAGAAGAAGAAACGCAGGTGCTTAGGTCCTCACCCCAGCGCCTGCTCTCCGGCTCGCTGACGGCCACTTTCTCGTTTCTCCAGGCTGAGTGTTGACAACCTGTGTCCGCTGCACAGTGCCTTGACCAGGCCAAATGATAAAACAAAGGGAGAAAATGGCAGGGAATTCTCTCTTCCTCGTAGCTCATCCTCCAATTCTGACTTTCCTCGCATTCCCCTGTTATTCCTAGAATCTGCTTTGAGTGTGTGTGCGTGTGTGTGTATGTGTGCATGTGTGTGTGACAGAGCTTTTAGGTACTGAATAGAAATTAGGCTACAATGGGCTTAGCTTACTTTGTCACCACCTAAAGCTTTTCCTCTGATTTTGAAATACTGTTCTTTGGGTCACTATTATCTATGTGTGAGTAATCTTCTATTAAAGAATTTAAAGTTTTCATTGACTTAATTTGTATGGCCCTTGACAGATGTCTTTTGCTATTTTCAAAATTAGTAGATCCCCAGTGTGGTGGTGCATGCCTATAATCCTAGCACTCAGAAGGCTGAGGCAGGAGGATTGCCATGAGTTCAAGGCCAACCTGGGCTATGCAGTGAGTTCAAAGTGAGACCTTGTCTTAAAAATCAAAACAAAATACAACAAAACAAGCCAAAACCAGTAGATTGAATACAAGTTTTATTTGATGTAGGAAAAAAGAACACACAAAAAAAGAATGATTATGCACCCTTCCCACAAAGAAATATACAATTTAGTTGGGTGATCTAGTTTAAAAAATTATAGAATTACCATAGTAGAACACTAGTGTTCTTTGAAAGTCCCATGAATGTAATCGGAATGAATTACTAAAGATATTCAGAGAAAAAAGAGATCAAAAGAACGGCTCTGTAGACGCTGTAGCTTTTGAGCTGACCTTGAATCCTGGGTAGGATTCGAACATGAAAAGACAGGAAGAGGTGGATTTTGGACAAAGAAACAGCCTGATCATGGGGCTCATGGCTTACAAAAAAATGTGGGAGAGGCGGAAAGAAGTGCAAGTCCCCAAATTTCTTTAGGGAAGCATAAACGCTTTAACACACAATCCTCCAAGCCTAAAAATACTTCATATCTGTGACAGAGAGAAACTTTTACGTGTTCATACTTCTTATGTCTAATTTCCTTTCACACCTCTTCATCTTCTTGGTTCTTCTTTCATTGATATTGCACTAACCTTTTGGTCTTTTTCCCCGAAGTGTAATTTATATTACGGACCAAATTGCATTCCGCCCCCACCCCAGACTCATCCATGGAAGCAGTACCCCGTGGTGTGGCTGTGTTGGGGAGGGGGCTTAGAGCTGGGAGAGACTGGGGTCCCTGTGGAAGAGAGAGGCCATGGGCTCTGGCAGAAGTCCAGGTTGGTGGGGACACGAGACACCCGGGAGACACCTTCATGCGGGTCTCAGGCTCAGAGCGCTGAAACATAGCTGTCCTTTGGGCTGTTGGGAGCAATTGGTCAGTGCCAGCCAGGCGGACGAACGTGTTATTTAATGCAGAGGTGGAAAGGCAGCACTGTCTTCCTTAGCATCTGAGGCACACAGCTTAACGTGTTAAAAATATTACTCTAAGCAACTTTTTTGAAGATAACAATGTACAATAGAACAACCATTGCTAAGTTCCTATCATCTTGTTTTGAAAGCCTGTATTGTTCTTGTCTTGAGTTTGCTGTTGTTAGTCTCTTTGGCTTTCTGCTTTTCTTTTCTGTGTTTTTTCTCTTAAAAGAGAAAATTTAAAAATAAAGAAAATAAAGGAATATTACTTTCACTTTGGGGAGACAAATTACCCAATGAAATTCTATGTTTTCTAACAAGAGAGAATTAAAAACATCACCATACTCCAGTCCGCTTCTTTCTTTTTCTCCTGCTCCCTCCTCCGGAGCTCCTGTTCTCTTCTCTTAGTATTTTGGGTGAAATGAAGTCTCTCCTTGGTTTTGGAAACACCCCAGTCCATCGCTTGACAAGCTTGGCTGGGACTCGGCAGTGTGCGCCGAAGCCTCTAAGAGAAGCAGTGAGGACAGATGTGGGCTCACTCTCCGTGACCCCCACGCCGTGGAGGCCCCGCTGTTCTGATCACTAGCAGGGAACGAGAGGGTAATAAAGCAACAGGGCTCAAAACCCTGACCTTCAGAGAATGCCGTGCTTAGTTTTATGAGCCGATGTTTGCAGGGCACAATGATTGCATTCCACCGGGGAGCTGGTTCACAGACAGAACCGGCTCAGTTCCTTTCTCCTCCCCTCCCTCACCCCTGCGTCCCTCCCTCCATCCCACTGGCAAAAGGTCTAGCTCCCCGTTTTATGTTCTCTTTTATTTTGCTCTTTATTTATACTTTGAGTTTTTAATGTGAGAGATCATCAGATATTTGTGTGTAAACCCATGTTTATAGTAGCATGACGTATAACTGCTAAATCTTGGGTGTGGCCTATAGCTCCATCAACAGATGAATGGATAAACAAAATGTGTTGTTTGTACATGTAAAGGAGGATAAACTTGAGCTGGGTATTTAGCGCAGCATAAACGCCTGCCTGGCAAGCGCAAGGTCATGTGTTGGATCCCCGGTACATGAAAAAAGATAAATTTGAGTCATTTGTAGGAAATTGGATACAGAGACTGTATTTCTGTCCACAAAAAGTTCAGATGGTTTGAAATGATGCCTTTCCTTTTTTCTTTAGATCATTATAACTTTAGGGAGAGAGAAAAAGAGCGAGCAGTTTTCTCTCTTTTCCTGTCTCACCGAGCACGGCAAGGAGGAGCTGGGGAAGGGAAGTCACAGAAGCAGTCATGGCAGGGCCTGGTGGGGGACAGGAGCTTCTGAGTTCCACTCCACACACCCTGATGGCTGTCTCTGAGCCGTAATTTGGAACAGAGGCAAAGGTTTCCTAATTCAACCTTGGGAGAGGATAATTTTCCAAAAGCAGTAACAGAACACGAGTGCCCCGCGTGGGATGGATTTGTAGTTGTTCCAGTGTCCACAAGGTCCAAGTGTGTCTGCTGCGAGAGCACAGTTCCTCACACTAAGTGACGGAGACGAAGACTGCGGGGGCAGTAGACTTTAAGGAATCGGTGTGTGCGTGGTGACAGGGCACAGAGACAGCAGTCACCTGACCAGCAGCCTCTCTGTCCTCCCTTGCAGGAACGCGAGGAGGTGGCCTCTGATGATAGACCCGCAAGGCCAGGCTAACAAATGGGTCAAGAACATGGAAAAAACCAACAGCCTTCAGCTCATCAAACTAAGCGACCCTGACTACGTCCGTACGCTGGAGAACTGCATCCAGTTCGGCACCCCAGGTAGGTATGGGGACCCCAGGCCCACGCGTGGCCATGTCGGAGAAGCCGTGTGGGCTACTGCTTGTCATCAGGGGAGGCTGACTGACAATAATCAGACGAGAATGCTGGAGACGGTAGGGCTCCCAGGAGAGAGGCTTTGCTCGGCCACGGTGCAGTTGTGATGCTTCTTCTCATTTAACTGATTTCATTTTTGTGTGCTCCTTGCCGTTCCTTGGCTCTCATTCCCTGTGCCCTTCTACCATGAAAGGGGCCTGTCTTCATTACTTTACTCTGATTGTTGAGACAAAACACCCAACACCCAAAATGAAAGAGAGAAAGGTTTACTTAGCTCACAGTTTGTGGAGGTTCCAGTCCATAATCAGCTGGCTCCAAGGCAGGGTGGCGTGGCACAGGGGCAACACTGCAGGACAGCAGAAGACAGCAAAAGCAGCAAAGCATAAAGGGGGAGAGCAAGCCTCTTCTCCCTTAGATAGTAACCAGGCTACTGACTCCTTCACACACACACCATCACCCTGCCCTCCTCTTGTACAGGCTGATGATGTCACAATGGAGGGACCCTGGTCCCCTGTAGAGTCTCTTAGTTAAACTTCTAATCTTCTCAAATTGACACAATTCTCAGCCACTACAGGGCCCTTTGAGGATGCCTTACTGTCTCAACATGACGTAAAGCTTTCTATTTGTCCTTCCATCGACTCTCCCTCCCTACAGAAGTGGTGTGGAGTGGAAAAAGTGGAAATTTGACAAGGATTTTTTTAAAATTTTTTTTTTTGTCTTTTTCCTTTTTTATCGGTACTGGGGATCAAACCCATGACTGCCTGCTTGCAAGGCAGGCACTTATGCCGCTGAGCTAAATCCCCAGCCCCTTGACAAGGATTTTGAGTGCAGTCTGACAAAGATGTCACATTGTCAGAACAAAAGCCAGGATGCTTCTGATTTGAGAGAACTGGGGGTATTAATCATCTTTTAATATTCATGTCGCCTACCAAATTTTTACCAAATAACTGTAAACATCATGAGAATTCAACATAATTAGCTCCAGGAAAAGTTCAACAGGTTACATTTGCTACCAGAACCAGTACAGTATAGACAAATCATAATAAATATCCCAGTAACCCTATAGAAGTCTTGTATCTGCAAACTAATTAATTAGTTATCAAATATTAATTGTGATTTTAAGTTCTGCTGTGGTAAACATGAAGTGACAAATCTACTTATAAAATTCTGAGTTTATATAATGGACACATGGACATAATATTCAGTTCACTCAACTAGTGTTCTTAAATTGATTACTTTTAAACTGAAGTAAAATTATACATAATTTGGGGTAAGATACGGTGCTTTTGATGCATATATGTGTTATATAATGTCTAAATCAGGGTAAATACATTCATCATTTCAAGAATTTTTTCCTTTGTGGTAAAAACACTCAAAACCTTTTTTCCAGCTTTTAAAAAACTACCCAGCACAGTGCTGTTGTCTCTAACTAGCCCAGCGTGGAGCAGAGCATCCTGAGGGATACAGGACTCACATGGGGGCGGGGGGAGGGTCATGTCAAATGTTTTGCCTGGTGCTCCCTTAACATCAGGACCACTTACATCTCAGGGTAATAAAGCCACAAAGTAGTGATCTCTTGCTGATCCGCATGGGCCAGGGACTGGCAGAGCAGTGGTTCTGGACTCAGGCTGCATCTGCGACTCGGAGCTCAGTTCAGTGTCCCTGCAGTGTGAGGGTGACATCAGTGACCATGTGTCAGATACTTGGAGCAGTGACCAGTGCTTCCTTCGCAGGATGTCCACAGTTGTTTCGTGGCACCACGGAGGGAACCTAGGGCTCCGCACACTAAGCTCCGGCTTTCTAGCTGGGGTCCAGCAGTTGCCAGCATTTATTTACTTATTTTTTTATTTTATTTAAGAGGAAAAAGAGAAAAACACAAAACAAAACAAAGCGGTGTAAGGGTACACGTAATACAGAACTACAACAACAAAATAAAAACATAACAGTAAGAAATCACCTGTTAATAGATTACATATTATCATCTTGAAAATAGTTGCTCAAATCACAGTATCAAAGAATACAAGGTGGACATTCAAACAGGGAGACTGCAAACAGCTGTGTTCAATGATCCAAAAACATTGAAATAGTCAGTTATTTAACACCCCTAAACACACTTGCTGTTATATCCGTTAGAGCTCTTTTTCTTTTTCTTTTTTTTTTTCCCTCTCTTTTTTACAACAAAATTTACACATTTTGGATTTTATTACTCCTTAGTGCTTATTACTTTTTTGGGGGGGAGAGAATACAGTCAAATATGGCAAAACAAAGCTGTCAGTCAAAACCAAGGATAGACATAGCACATGGTGTAGAACAGAGTACAAGGTTATCAACAATGGTTATCAACGTTGTCTCTTGTTTCCTTAAAAAGAATTGTCTATCTCATTAGGTAAATTGCCAGAATTTATTCGTGGTCTCTTACAATCTAAGGCCAAGGCAGTGCACTGCGAGAATCAACAGAAGACACTCCTGAAGGACTTGGGCCCACATGTACTTCAATCGCTCAAAAGCCTTAATTATTTCCATGACATACTAAGACAGTTAGCGAGCGCAGGGCAGTGCAGAGGCCGCCCCCGGCCACCCTGCCTCCCGGGCCTCCTGCATCACACATCGGAGACTTGCTTTGGGTTGATTTAACCGGTATTTTGGAATGGATCCATTTTAAATGGCTAATGCTTTGTTTTCCTCGCCTCCTAATGCTAATCATTAGAGAAAAGTGGAATGTTTTCATCCCTCGCAGAAAAAGAAACCAATGGCAGATTTTATAGTTATGTTTGCACCTCACTGTCAAGTAAGAGAATCGGTTACAGCTGAAGTTCTAAAACATAAGCGCTGAAGACTCCTGGAGCCTTTCACAGTGATCTTTAGCTGGGCAATGTGGGGACGGTGGCTTGGGCTTGTCCCTCCCAGCCGGGCCTGGGTCGAGAAGGCAGAGAGATTTCTGCCTGCCTCACCTACCTGCCTTGATTCTGATGAAAGCTGAGTCTCCTTTCTTTTTTAAGTTTTAAGATATTCTGCTACTTTAACAAAGGTTTGAAAGATAATATTCTAGGAAATATTATTAGTATCAGCTATACCAGTGAGTAAAGTCTACATTGATATTAGTCATAAAATTATTAATGATAAAGACATAAATCTGTATAAAAGATCTTTTTCTTTCTTTCCTTTTTTTCGGTACCAGGGATCGAACTCACGACCTCGCTCTTACCAGCAAAGCACGTGAACCACTAAGCCAAATCCCCATCCCTAGAAGATCTTTTTAATGACTTTCCATTGAACTGTGAAGTGCTGGTAGCCAGCCCTCCTTGTTGTCCTCTCCTGCCTCCTAGCACTTTACTTCCCACCCCTTGTGTATAATGAATTTATATACACATGTAATCAAAAAAGCAAAAATACCTCTTTAATGTTTCTTTTATTTGCATACTTGTTTATTCATTCAAACAGAAACATTTATTTTGCAACTATTATGTACCAGGCACCGTGGTAGGCATCCCGTCCACAGGAAATATAGTTTCCCTTTTGTTGGCGTGACCACTCTTTTGGGATTTCTGACACAACTGAACCTAACTGTAAATAACATACCCAGGAGTGGGAAAATTGGCAAGTATATTAGCATAACTTCCAAGAGATAAGATACACTTTGCCAAAAAGCAGCTAAAAACATTTTGCTGAAAACACCAACTTTAACAATATATTTTACCCATCAAACTATAAAAGTCACAAAAATATACTGTATGCGGATAGTGTCACCCGGGCATTCGGAGGGTGCATCAGGAGCCGGCTTGTTTACTAGCTGGTTTAGCTGGCTTTATCTTAGCGCCTCATGCCGGATTCATCTGTAGAACAAGGGAAATAGTAGCCTCTGGCTTTCAAAGTTGGGAGTCTGATGGGAAAACCCAGTGTCGGTGTGATGTCGGCATTTCTAAGTACAGTGACAGGATGTAAGATGAGACTTAGAACACACAACAGAACCAGTGCCCATCGCATCTCTGAGATAAAACAGCTTTCGGGGAGATTAGTTTGGCAGCATAAACAGATTTTTAAATGCTCCTAACACTTGAACGTTAGCTCCTCTTCTGGGTCTTCACCCAGCTAAGAAACCAGAAATGAACGCAAAGGTTTATTCCAGAAGATGTTGACTGTGTCATTAATAATAATCCTGGAAAATGAAGCAACCTAAACAATAGAAGATGACTGTATTTCATACATTAGAATTTATGCACGTTACTTTACCGTGAAAAATAATCTTTTTTATGCAAGGAGAAACTGAGTTTAAGATCATCTGACGTCCCTCCTTGGGTCAGCACTGGCAGAAATTGCTAAGAGCACCATTTTAGGGATTCTTTAGCCAGGGCTAACCTTGCGAAGTGCAGAGCATGTTGTAGTTTCTCTGCAATCGAGACCCAAGTACTTCTCGTCCCGGGGCCCTGATCACCCTCCCAGCCAGGCAGCGCCCCTAGAAAGTGCCCGAGCCCAGGCTGGCTCTGTAGTATCCCTACACAAGACTTGATCCGGTGAAGAGGTCAAGAGCCTTAACACACCACTGGCCTCTTATCCACGGATTCCTCTAGAATACATCAGAAAAAGGTGTTCACAACTGGAGGTTTTGCACATTTATTTAGCAAGAAAATTCCAAATACTCATACTAGTAAAAAAAATGAGAGAAGATGAATACATTTTCTAGCTTTTTTAATAATGGGAAAATATTTGTGCTAATGTACCAAGCAAAATAATCAGGGCACAAAATTTGATATGTTGTTAGTCTCCATGTGCATGAGAAAAGATGAAGAAAAAAGCTTAAGTGAGAAAAATCATATATTCAGTAAGCAATTGCCTGGCCTGTATGGCTTCGTGTCATTTTCTACCAAAATATAAGTGGCATGAATCAAAGAAAGAAAATATTTAAGGAGAGAAAGAGTAGGAAAGTCTTAGCAGAAATAGTTCTCTGATTTTTTCTTTATACTTTCCTGTAATTTCTAGCTGTTTGGCCACAAGCACGAGTGGGTTTCATGGTTAAAGCTACAGTAACCACATAAGGAGCCAGGCAGGGAAATGCACACTCTGCTCCGGCAGCTACACTGCCATCCTCCCTGGACCCATAGTGCATCGGGTGAGGTAGGGTCTACACAGCAGGACCCATAGTGCATCCGGGTGAGGTAGGGTCTACACAGCAGGACTGGTGGCTGATGGGCTCCTATGGAGGCAGCTAAGGGGACCAGGTTCCCACCTGTTAACCCTTCTTTCCCTGGGAATGCAGTATGTCGATGGCATCATTCCCTATGCATAGAAAACGACAACACTTTTGTGAATTCCTAAGGACAGACGCAGCCTGGCAGGCTGAGAAGAGCTCAGGAGAGTGAACGTTTAAGGCCAGTGCTTAACAATCGCTCTCTGACCTCACTGCAGTGTTGCTGGAGAATGTTGGGGAAGAACTGGATCCCATCTTGGAGCCTCTTCTGCTGAAGCAGACCTTCAAGCAGGGCGGGAGTCTCTGCATCCGGCTCGGGGACACCATCATTGAGTACGCGCCCGACTTCCGCTTCTACATCACCACCAAGCTGAGGAACCCGCATTACCTTCCCGAAACATCAGTCAAGGTGGGCCACCCACAGTGAACGCTCCTTTATCAGACTTTACACTTAGTGATTACATGTTCCTCTTGAGTCCGAGAGCAACCGGTCTTCCTAAGAAAATTGGACTTTGTTCCTTTCTGTATTTCCTGACACCGCCCTAATGATTTCCAAATGTTGCTTTTAGGGAGGCTGGGGATTTAGTTCAGTGGCATAAGCACCTGCCTCGCAAGTGTTTAGTCGTGAGTTCAATCCCTGGTACCGAAAAAGACAAAAAGAAAAAGTCCCAAATGTTGCTTTTGTGTGTGTGCAGGTGATAAAAGAGCTTTCGGTGTGCTAGGAAAAGAGAGACCATCAGAATCTAATTTCTACAATTAATATCATTTTGAGATTTTCATTGTTAAAAGTCGATAGATAATGTGGGTACATTCTTTCTTTTTAATAAATGATAATATGGTAATTATTGGAATTGGAGTTCAGGAGGGAAACTTCATTTTCCCTGCCCAGAATGTGCTTGGTGTTATCTGCTTTTATATAATTACTCATAAGAACTGTTTTCAATCTCCATTCTTTCAAAACACTAAAAATTCCTTTAAAGAATAAAATTAGCTTAAAGTTTTTGTCTGTGACATAGGTGGCTTGATGTACTGCTGAGCTACAGGTTTAAGGCGAGATCTTCTTTCTAGTTTTCCTTCCTGACTGTCAGTCCCGGTTGATACTCAGTAAATGTGGGGTGGACGCATGGGGTGAAGGGTGGGTAACAAGAAGCACTGACCTAAATGTTGAAAGTTACACATGGAGGGAAAGTTATCCAGCTGTGCTTCTCTGGAAATGCTGAAGGGATGCAGGCATCCTTCCGCAGAGAGGTGGGACCAGGTTGTGGATCTCGGTCCCTCCAGGGGGGGTAAACAGCAGGACAGCTCCCTTAGCACAGCCAGGCGTGTGCAGCGTAACTGGGGTGCAGAAGGACAACTGGGAGGAGTGACAGTGAGCCCAAGCTCACGTTGAGGACACACCTGGAACATTCGGGGTGCCTGGAGAACCAGGAGACGCAGAACCCTCGAGCTTAGTTTCAAAAACAGAACGTTAAAATATGAAAATCTCTGGCCACTGCTTTTCTGTAGTTACAGTGCAGCATGCCATCTAAACACCTAAGGAATACTTGTCACCTACCTGTAAGAAGAGGGAATGTGCGGTGTCCTGAAGGCACCGATGCAGGCCAGCTCGGTCACGCACTAGGTGTAGGATCAGAGGCAGCTGACTTCATCTCGCCGTGCAGACCGCCTCAACTGTAAAGCAAGCATGCGTAATAAGCTACAGAAGTCACCTGCGTGACATGCTAGGCGGAGAGCTGGGGCTCAGTGGCGAGTGTTGGTTATTACTATTAGTGTGTGAATTTCGAAGATAACTGGAAAAAGAAACGATAAAATCCCAAAGCTGTGTTTGGGAAGCAGTGTTCCAATAAATAACAAAACCATTTTTACTTTCCAGGAAAACGTGAAAGTATCACACATAACCTAAGAGACCTGTGTTCTCTAGCAGCAGGTTAGCGAGAAGTCGTAAAACGCAGCGGGGAGGAAACGGAGTGTGAGCCAGGGTTGAACTCCGGAAGATCCCTGGAGCACCGTACGCTCCATTATTTTTAATTGCTGGGACTGATTAAACAGGGATTAGAAAGCAGTGAGGTAGTTACTTGCTTTCATTATGAATTAGAACACTTCCTCTTGATCCTGCTTTTTAAGGCTCTTTTTATGTATGTTTTGTTTTCAAAAGCACCCAGAGGATGGTATCATGCTGCTATCATCCTTTGGAGTCTAAAGGAAAATAAAATTATGACACTGCATTGCTAGGATTTTAAGTGTTAATTGTGAATATATGGCTACATTTGCAAAATCTCGATTTTAAAAGGTGTGACATTAATAAACTAGGAAGGAGGCCTCCTCTGGGTGAACGCAGTGAAATCCAGCCAATCAAACTCACATTTCCCACACTGTGCCGACAGCTGTCTTGGTTACTTTTTTCTCTTGCTGGGACAAAACACCCGACATCCAAAATGAAGGAAGGAAAAGTTTATTTAGCTCACAGTTTGTGGAGGTTTTAGTCCATACTCAGCTGGCTCCATGGCAGGGTGGCGGGCCCTGGGGCAACACTTCAAGGCAGCAGCCAGGGCAAAAGGGGCAAAAAAAGCAAGCCTCTCCTCCTGGCTTATAGTGCATGCAGGCCACCCCACACCCCAAAGGCAGTGCAGTACTCACAAAATCTCTGTGCCCTGCTCTTGCGCAGGATGAGGATATTTACAAAGAACTCTGGCCCCCGCTGAGTCTCTCCATTAAACTTCTCAATTTGACACAATGGATCAAGCATAACAACAGCTTTGATCAAAGCCAATGTCACCCAGCACTCAGACCCTTTTACCAACGGGAGAAGCTTCAATTCTAATTCTTCCACAAATAAACGCCACAGCTGTAGAGAATTGTATAACAGATGAGTTTTCCAAATTGCTGAGTTTCAAAAACTGCTTATTACCGCATCCAAATGTATGATTATGTCCTCGTGGTCTGTATTCAGTGACATGTGAGGCAGCGTCTGGGTTTGGGTGGGATGTGGGAGTCACCTTCCAGGGCCACCGCAGGCTGCTGGTCTGCACTTACTGACCCCAGAATGGAAACCTCCTTACCAGGAGCACAAAACGACTCTGTTCCCCTGGAGGGAGCATTCTCTTCCATGACGAGGCAAAAAAAGAGACTCTCTCAGCCCGAAGCCAGAACTGGGACACCAAAGGTGAAAACACAGAGATCAGAAGCCAGACAGGCTGTCAGGAGAGCGCTGCCCCTTCTCAGTGTGGAGGAAAGGGCACCCTTTGCATCTTGGCTACCCCAGCAGGTGACACACTGGGCTAAATAACTCACTGAACTAAGATCCGAAATGTGCAGTAGATACTGCAATAATGAAAGGTTAGGAAAGAGCTCGAAAAGAAAACAACTGGATAGGGAAAAGGAGAAGAAGAAGAAGAAGAAGAAGAAAGGAAAAGATTGTATGTGTGTATATACATATACATACATGCATATACACATATATACACACATATGTATCAGGTATACATATGTAGCTGTATGTCTGTGTACGTATGGAAGATAGATGGCTGTACAACTCCCTGAAACGTTTAGAAACGTCTTTACCTCCCTTGTTTTTGAAACCTCTCCCCCGCTGGGCAAACACTGCCTGCCCTCAGTGGGTTGTAGGTGGCTGCCTCGGTGGTGTAGTTTGTATGTAGCACAGGCGGAGCTGAGGAGGGCTGGACGCTGACCCTGGGCTGCTGGGCGGGCTCTGCCCAGTGTGGGTTGAGTCTCTTCTAGACAGCAAACTTCCCAGGTAAAGCAAAACCAAGAGCGGCGTGGGTGCTGTGCCCCTGACCCTCCCGTGAGTGTGCCTGTTGCGTGTGGTTGGTTATAACCTGCCACATTTGTTTGTTTGTTTTCTTTTCTATTGATTCTATTTAAAAGTTCTAATTTGTCAAAGAGCTGAGATTTCAGCGTGCTGAAGCAGATATTTTCAGCAGCCACGATCCGGGTGAGTTGTGCGGTAAAATGCATTGTGAGCTTTTGGACGAGGCAGTCACTGGCATCCAGCTCAGTGCTGATCTGAGTGTGCAAGGGCACTGCCACGTGGGCACCTCCTTCCGTGGGGAGGTGACTTGGGCCAGAAAAGGAGCCTGTCGCCCCGATGGTTTCCGGTACTCGCTGAGCTTGTGGGTGTTTCCAAGGGTGATGTGGCATTTCCGATGACTGCGGCTGCTGGATTCGCAGAGACCTGTGACCTTTCCCTTCGCTTCTCTGTGGTCTGTGAAGAAAACGCCCGTGTCCACCCCTGTGCTCTCCAGGGATGGGGTTGTGAGCTGCCCGCACTCTAACTGGCTTCCTTCGCCCCTCACCTTTGCCTGTGCTGTTCCCGTCCCCAGAGCAACGTTGGCTCCCCGACCAGGCTGGATGCCCTTCCTCTGTGTCCGGGCACTTGCTGTGCCCAAGTCAGCGTCCTGACCCTGTCCTGAGCTGTCTGCCTTCCCTCACCCATTGCTTTATGCCAGGCAACAGAGCAGCGAGTACACAAAGCACTTTCCACTTTAGTTCAGGAGAGAGGTGAGGAAACCAGGCTGCCCCAGTGCCTGTGCGCTCTGAAGAGTGGGGTTCCCAGAACAGTGATCCGCACGCTGGATTGGAGGGGAGAGCATAGAAGCAGGGCAGACCTTGTAGCCTGACGAGGCATTGCACAGCGGTGTGCCCGGGGTGCCAGAGAGTCCAGTGAGGCTGAGACAAGGACATGCGGAGGGCGTGGAGTGGAAGACGTGCGACCCGGGCAAGCCCTCACCCGGGGACATGGGACCAGGCAGGCTGCCAAATAATGAGCCCCAGGAAAGCAAGGATTCCGACGGAAGCCAAGCTCAGGAAGTGTTCCTTGGCTCCGGGGCTCCTACGGTGGCTGCGGCTGTGGTTTACTGTTGAGGGTGTTGAGGGTCCAGGCATCGAGCAGACTGGGAGGCCTGCATGAGGGAACGAGGCGGAGCCCAAGGGCATGAATGCAGAGCAGTTTCCATCGACGTTGTCGTGAGCATGAAGATACTATTCCATGGCTGGAAGAGATAGTGGGGCGATGTTATGATTTGGTTGGTCTTGGCTTTTTAAAAATAGAGACCTGGAGCATGCATACCTATTTGTGGGAAAGAACCAGGAGGGGAAGAACGTTAAGATGTGGGCAGCTGAGAGATCTGTGTGCAGGAGCAGTTAGGTGGCTTGGGGGAGCCCGTGTGTGTCAGCAGACAGCTCCCAACGGACACGGTGAAAAGGCCAGTTTCTTAGCACGCAGTGGTGATTCAGCATCAGAGTGTGAAACACTCCTCGGGTGACAAGGACTCAGCATTCTTCTTTCTCATCATTCACTTTGTAACATTTCTTGTATTTGGACACTGGTAGGCTCCCTAGAAATGTAAATCAGCCAGTGTGAAGGATCACTTTCAACCTGATTCTTACCAATCGCAGCATGAAAGAGTCTTCAGTTGGACCATTGTAAAATGAGAACAAATTGATCACCAAACAAATCCTTGGAAGTACAACAATTCCAAATGTGACAAACTTTTGTGGGCTCTTAACCCCACACTCACGCTCTATCTTTGATGATAACCACCGGTCTCTACAAGTCCTGCCGTGGGAAAGCTTTCTTTTCGGGTTAGAGCTTGAGGTCCGTGAGCAGAGGTTGTCTCAGTAAAAACATGGATGCATTTTAAAACCACGTTCCTTGCTTCCAGGTGACATTACTGAACTTCATGATCACGCCAGAGGGCATGCAAGACCAGCTGCTGGGCATCGTGGTGGCGCGAGAGAGGCCAGACCTGGAGGAAGAAAAGCAAGCGCTGATATTACAGGGAGCTGAGAACAAAAGGTTTCACAGAATTATTTTGATTTGTTTCATGATCACTTCGAGTGACTTACAGTATATTTGAAAGATCAATTTTATTAAATTTAACTGGTACACCAAATGGGAAGAGTTCGAATGACTGTAAGAAATCACAGTGCTTCTCTCTTAAATTTAAAAAGTTGTGTATTACTGAGTGTTTTTACATGAAAGTCCTTAGACATTGGAAGAACTTAGAAAACCTGCCACAAGTCAAGGTAATGTATTTTGAACGGTTCAACGAAGCTTTAGCACAAAAAATTTGGGCTCCTACTGGCTTTTGCTGGAACATGGTATGAATGACATGCTTCCCACGCATATCTGCATCCTTGATAGAAAGGAGACAGCTCAAGAAGCTGTGTAAGATTTCAGAAAGCAAATGTGGTGATGGGTGTGTCCTGCTCACTGCCAGCTGGGGTCCTGGAGGGCAGAGCGGGTAGGCCCACCGTATTTCTCTCTGGGGACCATACAAATGGCCATTAGAGAAGAACCAGTGCAGGAAGGCCCATCTCTGTGACATATGGCAACACAAGACCGTAATTATACGACATCACCACCACAGCTGTTTGTCACAAAGTGATGCATTTCTTTAGGTTCCAAGTTCCTTGTCCCTTCTCAAAGAACGTGTATGTGAAGTGATGTTAAAGGGTTCCCCTTTCTTCTGAGAAAAGTGTGTTTTATTTCAGGCAGTTAAAAGAAATAGAAGACAAGATTCTAGAAGTTCTTTCATCTTCAGAAGGCAATATATTAGAAGATGAAACTGCCATTAAGATCCTGTCTTCCTCCAAGGCTTTGGCTAATGAGATTTCTCAGAAGCAGGAAGTGGCCGAAGAGACGGAGAAAAAGATCGACAGCACCCGCATGGGCTACCGCCCCATCGCCGTCCACTCCTCCATCCTCTTCTTCTCTATCGCTGACTTGGCCAACATCGAGCCCATGTACCAGTATTCACTCATCTGGTTCATTAACCTCTTCATCCTGTCCATTGAAAACTCAGAGAAGTCAGAGCACCTGCCGGTGAGGTAGGTAAAGAACATGAACCCTTGTGAGTGATAGCCTGGAGAGCGTAGCTTCTGGCTCTCACTGTTCTTTTAGAGTGATGTAAGCATTATAGACACTTGCCTAAAGTGAACTTGGTTAAGCACTGTACAGAAATAAAAGAGTGCTGGAAATTTAACAAATTTAGTCAGCCAAGGAACTATTTACAGAGATTTAGGATCACAATATAATATAAGGCTAGAAAAAAGAAATGTGTGTGTGTATATATATATATATATATATATATAATTTGTCAGCTATGAGGGTAAAAGCCCTCAAACCTCCTTGCTATTTGTGGTAATTGAAGCTTCTTTTGTGTGATTCTTATCTACATAAAATAACTTTATTCTAGGCTGGGCGTAGTGGGGCACATCTGTAACCCAGCACTTGGGAGGCCAAGGCAGTGGGATTGCCATGAGTTTGAGGTCAGCCACGTCTACATAGTGACTAGGCCAGCCTGGACTCCAGGGTGAGACCCTGCCTTAAAAAAAAAAAAAACAAGACAAAACAAACTCATTCTATTTTTGGCTATTATAATAAATAATGGAGTTAAAATCTTAATAGGAAACTATGAGGGAATAAAATTGTTTTGATTTGTTATCAGTGAGACAGTTTCAGTTTGGTATTAAAACACGTTTTTAATAGGGTCCACCATGAAGTTACTTTATGAGCAAAAGTGATACTGATTGCAACTTTTGCCTTTATAAACTTCTTGTGCTTTAAACTTTCGTTTCTTCACTGCTCACACTCAGTCAAGGAAACACAACTGAAGAGTCATCACTCACAGTTCGGAATTAGTTGTAGGAAACTCATAACGTTAATTTCACTGAAATCTGGATTGAATTTCTTTCATTATCGGGGTTCAGGACTGAAATTTTTGAGTATCCCAGAGAGAGCAGTATTTCTGTTTGTATCATTCACTATTTTTGCGGGCTTGAATATTAGACTAAGAAAGTACACAAGTGATGTTTTGGGCGTGGCAAAGTGGCTCAGGTCTCGGCCCATGACAGAGGAGAAGGGAGGGGTAAATTAAACTTCTAGTACGTTTTCCCGTGCCTACTGCACTGTGGCTGTGTGATAAGTGATGTTCTGCTGTTACCACAATTCTTACTATCAACCTTGATTAAAAGAATAATCATCAGAATGTTATTCTCTAACTAGTTTTAAACCCAAGTTATCTGTCGATGTCTGGAGAAATATATTTCTTTGGTCTGTCATTTTAAGGCATTTTTATGATATTTAAAAGATAGAACAATTCCCATTCTTTAAACACAACTCTTGATCATTTGTTTTCTCTTGTTATGTCAAATTAGAACTCACCCCAGACAGGGCACCTGCTTCTTCACAGCTGTGGTGCAGACCCCAGCATTGATCACGCTCCCACTGCTAGGGCAAGACAGCCAACACCGCACTTTAGAGGAGATGTCTATTTTGGCTCATGGTTTGGTGGGGTCAGTCCATGGTCAGCGAGTTCCAAGGCTGGGCAGAGGGCCTGGTGGAGGAAGCTGCTCATGCTGTAGGCCCCAGGATGCAAAGGGGGAGGAGCAAGGACAAAAACTGTCTAGGCCACACCCCCATAGCCCACCTCCAACCAGAGCCCGCCTCCTAACTGCATTCAGCCATGTGTTTATCAATAGGGGGACCACTGATGGGAAACACCCCCGATCCAAACATGAGGCTTTTACAGGGCAAAGGGTCAATTTAGATCTAAAACAGAAAACCAAATCTTTTTTTACCCACATGTGAGGTTTGGATGAAATCTAGCAATCAAACGTGGCTTTTTCTTTGTAGTTAAATTCCGTAATTTAGAAACAGTGATGATCATATGTATGACCACAGTAACCCCAAAGGTTAATTCTGGAATCAAAGAGTAGAGAAAATATGTTTTAAAACCTTCATAGAAGTTACTGACAGAGCTGCAGAAATGCATGGAAATCAGAACCATCCCCTGATGGATCTCTGTGAGTGTACCCAGCTCAGGACAGGATGTCATCAACAACCTGGGAACTCCCTGCCTGCCTTCCAGTCACCAGCTCCCTCCTCGCGGGCCTTAGCCCTGTTTTAGAACCTCATATACAGGGTCCCTGTGGGGGCAGGTGGCCGCTGCTCCCAACACCGTTTGTGAAACTCACACTTACTGTTTGGGACGGCTTGGTGTCCTGCTCACTGTCACTCTTAGCCAGCTCTCCACTGCACGTCTACATTGGTGCCCTAATTAACACCTAAATCTTCCCCCAGCGCAGGAATTCTCTCTGCAAGGGCAGCAAAGAAAGAGAGCACTTTTATTATTGAATAAGCACTAAATCAAGATGCACTACTCATCTTGGGCAGTCAGCCAGCAGGCTGCAGAGCACAAGGGACCCCCTTCCCCAAACAGCCAAGCAGAGAAGACACCGGTGTCACCCTCAGCTGGCCCAGAGTGTCCATTCTGCTGTCGAGCATGTTTGCTTCCAGATTAGGGCTGTTATGAATGAACTTGGGTTGCTTCAGCACAGCAACCGGGGCTTTCTGAGCAGATGTGAACACATCTGTGGCAGCCCGGAAGCAGACCTGCTGACCAGGGGACAGCATATGTCCCTTCTCCTCCCCACTGCTTTTCAGAGCGGCTGGACTAAGGGAGGGTCTTTCAGCCAGCCCTGCTCAACGTATTCACGGGGCTGTGACCCGTGTCTCACTGCTGGGTGACTCTGAACTGACTGCCCCGTCAGACATCTGGGGCCAATCCCATCAGGAGGGTGCAAGCTGCCCCATAGGACAGTCATGCATGGACCACTGGTGGTCAAGTGTGAATGTGTTCATCTTTTTTTCCTCAGTGAAAAAAGTTTCCAATTAAGAATCCACTGCCAGGTCAAACACTTGAGAAAATTTATTCTCATTACAATGAGAACAGATGGTATGTTTGCCCACTGATCACTGGTAAACATCAGATAACTGCCGGATCGCACGTGTCAGCACCTACTAGAAAGCTGTCAGTTGGAAACACTGAGATTATTATATACATCTCCAGGGTTGGCCGCTGTGATTAATAAGGATAGAATCAAGTTGTGGTATCTCTAGCTTTTATGGATTTATGAGCAGAGTGAACCAGGATGAAATTTTCTGCTACTTTAATAAAAGTCATTAATTTTACTCTATGCACTTAATACATAATATAAATCATTTGAAAGCATTTATGTAAGGCACTGGTCAAGTTTTACCCCAGAAAGGCTTTGTAGTTAAGATCACTCCATGTAACAGGTTAACACACCATGCAATGACTTTTCTCCAAAAGGAAGATTAAAATGTTTTTTTAGAAAAGTAGTCAACAGAAAAATATCACCCTAATGGAGTGTTTCTACATGGAGGAGCTCTCAGATTGGCCCCTGGTTGATGAAGATCCTTGCGTGTGTGGCGGGTGATTGGCCAAGGAATTTATGAGAAAAATACAGCCCTAAGTGCTTTGCAGCGGGTTTCCTAAGAGCAGGGTCTCTCTCTGTAGAACGCACTTCCTCACTCGCCCTTCTGTTCCCGCCTAGGCTTCATATCCTCCGGGACCATTTCACCTACTCTCTGTACGTGAACGTCTGCCGCTCTCTCTTTGAAAAAGACAAGCTCCTCTTCTCCTTCTGCCTCACCGTGAATCTTCTTATCCACGACCGCATGGTCAGTGTCGTCGAAATTCATTAGGACGAAAAACTACAATGCTAACACGTTGCTGTGTTGGTTTACTAACTTGCACGGGGATTCATATAAAAAAGTTGCAAACCGTTCCACAGTGATGCTGCTCATCAGTTAAGGGGTGACAAGACTTTCCCAGAAATAGAATGTAATCAAGCACAGTTTATTATGTTAGTAGCACTTAATTTTGATATGTCTTAGTTAAAAAAAAAACAAACCTGTTTTTATCAGAATCTCGTACAGCAATGCATATAAATTTACTAAATAGCCAGGCGTGGTGGGTCACACCTGTAATCCCAGCACTCAGAAGGCTGAGGCAGGAGGGTTGTTGCAAATTCAAGACCAACCTAGGCTACAAAGTGAGCTCAAGGCCAGCCTGAACTACATAGAGAGACCCTGTCTCAAAAAGACAAAAAAAAAAATTTACTAATATACTTATTATTGTTACCAGATGATAGAATAAATGCTAATGTTTTTGAGAACTTGTTCAAATTAATCAGATCTAACGATTTGGGATTTACCAATCTTATGTAAATTTTTAAATATTTTTAAATCTCTTCATTTAAAACACAGGATGCACTTGAATTGAAAAGTGTTGTGTTAAAATCCCTATTTTATACATTTATGTGTTTAAGATTTATTGATTTCATATGGTGATGTATCAGTTGAATTCTGACAGGATAAAGAGCTTATTCACATTTTTTGCAAAAGTTTCAAAGTAATCGTTATATTTTGTGGAAAATGATCAAGAACATGACAGAGTAATGGTTCTCTTTCTACAATTTCTGAAGTCAACAGAACTCTAATTATTTTGAAGAGCAGGTATTCAAATAGGGTATATCCAGACTTTCATGTGTAATCTAAGAATGTGGAATAAAGCGATGGGAAGTCATTATTTAAAACGTAACTTTTTGAAAACTAGTTATCACAGGCACTTTAGTTTCTCATGCCTAAATAGTGTACTCTGTCAGTGGTGGAATTTCACAGAGACCATAGCTGACACTTGCAAAGCAACACGCAGCTAACTCTTAAAATGCTGTAAACTCACTAACGATGAACTCACCTCTGATTCCTCATGGTGTCTCGTCTTCCAAAGATCAATAAAGCTGAGTGGAGGTTTCTGCTGACCGGTGGCATTGGGCTGGATAATCCTTATGCCAATCCATGCACGTGGCTTCCTCAGAAATCCTGGGATGAGATCTGTCGATTAGATGACTTACCTGTCTTCAGAGGCATCCGCAAGGAGTTCATGATCCTGAAGGATGGATGGAAAAAAGTCTATGACAGCTTGGTAGGTGTTAACCCTCAGGCTTATTCCAAAGTGTTTGAACACATAGTTACAGTTATATATTTACATTTGCACAAAAGTGAGATTTAGATATGTTTTAAGCAACCAGCCAGATATTAAAGTACCAGTTTGGTTTCTGTTAGTTCCACCTCCTGCCTGTTTTTTATTGGGTTTGCCCACGGTTTATTTGGTCACCTGTTGTACTTGATAACAAGGTTGGGTCTGAACAAGAACTCACGTTTGGTACAGATCTCTTTTGATTGTTCCTTATTAATATGAAAATACCTTTCCTAGAAACAGATACATTTTGTGAGTGCTTCTTTCTAACCGAAAGTATATACTTTCCTCACTGTGCTGATTCATGGCGATATCTATTGTATTTTATTTTATTTTTTAAAATTTTAATATTTATTTTTAACATGGAGATTCTGGCTGGAGAAACCACACGGGATATCCTGAAGTTGCAGAAGTGTTGACATCCGCTTAGTGAGCTTTGATTTCTCCAGGATGCTTTGAATTTTCTTACCATTCTTATTTTATACTTTATCTTAGCTTGAACAATAAAATGTATGCGCACCTACTTGATTTCAGTTAGCTATGAAGGATTGCCTCTGATTGCTGTGTACATCCCCCCGCGCCCTGCTCTTAGCATCCTCGCTAACGTTACCTTACACTGCTGTCACCCAGGAGCCGCACCACGAGGTCTTCCCGGAAGAGTGGGAGAAGAAGGCGAATGAATTTCAGAGGATGCTCATCATCCGCTGCCTGCGGCCTGACAAGGTAACGTGGGCCGTGGAGGCCGCTGCATGACTCCCTCCACCTCCACCCGCCTGTGCAGCCCACTCCAATGTGGGTTTCCTCAGTAATCACGGGGTGGGGCAGTCTGCTCCTAGGGTAGCCCTTTTTCCGAAGTTTGAGTACTTTTTGAAACCTAAATTAGCACCTAACCAGTTGTGTTGTTATTGTTTTGCTCCTGTTATGATCCTTCCTCATTACCCACCTGCACACCATGCATCACCATGCATCTGTCTGCCAGCCCTCCACCTGCTGCCTGCCCGGGTACCCTTTCATCTTTAGAAAGCAGCAGAATACGTGTTGCTGTGGAGACATTTGTCACGGTTCACAGCAAAGGAAAATATCGGTGATAATGCTTCCGACTTCTTTAAATAATACATTATAGAACCAGCAGGCCGGCGGACCTGTCCATCGGCAAATCCCTGCGCTCATGGACATCATCATTGGTCTTATAGTCTACATGCAATAAATTCACCTAAATATATCGGCGCACACCCACAGAGATTTCAGTAGGCTCTGAATAATATAAATAGTGTACGTCCTGGAAAAATATCGTAACTGCCCATTTTGTTACCACTCAAGTAAAAGTTTTACATAATTATTTCAAACTTTACTGTATTCACAGGTGATCAAATGAATACAGATTACCTCCAGTCTAACCAAAAAGAAAAAACAAATTAAGTAGTAAAAGGGAAAGGAAAAAACTATACAAGAAAAACTGTCCTTCTTAAAACTTTGTTCTTTTGGAACTGCCCAGCTCTGTAACTGCTTCGTGGCTTTGTAGTGACTTTCTTGGCCCCTGTAACTACGAGAGTGTAACCGAAGTGCTGGATGCCTGACCACACCACTCTGCCAAGCTTCAGGCCCTGACAGTCATTAATCCACCTTTGTGAGCGATGAGCTCACCCTGCTAGCTAACCAGAGCTGCCAGGCTGCTCTGCTCACTTTGTACCTCCTCGTGCATCTAAAAGCTCTACACCACCGGAAGTCAGGCCCTGATATTCTGGGAATGACCTCCATCAGTGCCCATCGACATCAGTAAATCTGCCTCCAAATCCTGGGTGTCATTTCAGTGTTTCTGCTTGCCAGTGCAAAAGTAATTTATTTAAGAATTCTTGCTGACCAGCACTCGGGAGGCTGAGGCAGGAGGATCATTGCGAGTTCGAGACCAGCCTGGGCTACAAAGTGAGCTCAAGGCCAGCCTGAACTGCAAAGCGAGACCCTGTCTCAAAAAGACAAAAAATAAATAAAGAATTCTTGCTGAATGTGGTAGTGCATGCCTGTAATCCCAGCTCATGGGAGGCTGAGGCCAAAGGAAAGCTGTGAATTTGAGGCCAGCCTGGACTACATAGTGAGACCCTGTCTCAAAAACAAAGAAAAATAGAATTTTGTGCACTGCAGTGACAGTGTTGGGTGGAGGCACTTTTTCCTCTGGGAGCTATAGTCTGTTCACTCTCTTCTTAGCCCCATTCGCAGTGGGGCCCACAGTACTTTCTGGGCCAGGAAAGTGTGTTAATTTAAAACCAGAAGTCTGTTCTTATCTCTGTATAAATATGATTATAAGGGGCGGGGGATTTAGCTCAGCAGCATAAACGCCTGCCTTGCAAGCAGGCAGTCGTGAGTTCGATCCCTGGTACTGATAAAAACAAAAAAGACAAAAAAAAAAAAAAAATACGATTGTAGAGTACAATTTCAGCACTAATATTTTGTCTGAGGGGGGCCCAGGAGTGTGAGGCCAGGGCAGCAGGCTTGATGTTCCTCCTGCCCCAGTCCCTGAGGGTTCTGCGGTGATCTGAGGTTCCCTGTGAACCCGAGGGAGCAGCCTGCCCCTGGGAGCCCTTTAAAGAATGAATTTTCATGAAAAATTCAGTGCAAAGCCTCAGAGGCTGCTGCTTCCGAGTCTTAGTGCAGGGAGAAAGTGAAATGCTTCCAGCTCTTGCTTACTGTGGCTTTCTCTCATAAAACCTTTCATTAAAATGTTGAGTTTTTCCCTTGTTTTCTAAGCTAAGGACTGCTACACAGGAGTGGCTCTGGAGGTACCACTGACCTTCCTCCCCTCGGTAGCTGGGAACCAGCCTTGTGGTTTATATTGTTTGATTAAAAGTGATCACTGAACAATGTCCACATTGGGGCACTTTCTTTTTTCTTTCTTTTTGTGCAAGCATCATTTCTCCTGCTTTGCATTTTTTAAAATTTGACTCTTCCGTCTGATAATACATTGAGCATCAAATAGATCAAACACCACTTTCTACGTTCCTTCTCTCTTTACACAGGGAGTTACATACTCGGGCTGAGGGGTTTTCTGCAGTGGGGTGTTTCTCCTTTTGGTTTGTGTGTTTTGTTTGTTTTCGAGTCAGCAGATGTTGACTTCGGGCTGAGTCCTGCTTCTGGCTGCTGTGCCCAGCCTGAGCCCTCCGTCTTAGAACTTTTCCCGCACGTCCATCCATCTCGCCAGGGCCTTGACACCTGGCCTTGGCTGGGTGCAGAGTGTGTGACCGCGCTGCTCACGCACGTTCCCAGCTCTTCCCTGTGCACAGCTGAGGAGGCGCGTGGCTGCAGCAGACCCTGCTTTGCTGTCACGTGTGAACAGACCTCGGGATGCAGGCGATCAGCTGCCAGCTGCCGTTCTCCAAGGCTGCCCGAGATCCAAACCACAGCATCTCGGGTTGATGCTTACGAGGCACGAGCAGGCTGGATGGCGGGTTGGCACGCGAGTTACGTGTGCACTCCCAGATGGCTTGGCAGGGTCAGGGAATAAGCTTTCACTGGATGAAGCCAGTGCCACTAGTAACCGTGAACTGCAGCTGAACTCTGTCTATCTGGGTGGTGCAGTGACCGAGTCACCAGTACCTAGAGGTCACACAGTGCTGTCACACAGAAACCATTAATAGGGGCCATTGTGTTACCTGAGAAGTGCCACCAACCCTTCACCCCTAGTGTGACCAGGCTCTTTCTGTGCGGATTGACGGTGGTGGTGGCATAAGATGGACTTTGGCTATTAAATTGTTAAAGGGTGCTTCCCAGCACAGGATGGTGTGATCTTACCAGTGCAGTAGGGTGGACGTTGGGGCTTGCAGTCCAAGACTCTGTTTCTTTGCCACCTCTGAGCCAAGCGATAACCTGTAAACCTCCCCGGCAAATTGGTGACTGATTGCCCCCCAGCTTACAGTGCACCTAGCAGAGTTTTCTTTTTGATGGTGGGGTCTCCTGTTCTTTTTCTCCCCTTAAAACCCAACTCCTTGCAGTGGAAAGAAGCCACAATACCAGGCTCTCTATTGCTCTGGCTTGGAAAAATGTGACTGATTCTCATTAAATCACCAGTAAGAAGGCTGAGGCAGGTTTATAGGTTCCTTTAGAAACAAGTAGTTGATTTTTTTTTTTTTTGATTTTTGTTGTTGCTCTGATTGCATTTTGTTGACAAAAAAAAGGAATCAAATGCATAAATACTGACAGCTGGAATGTTTGTATCCATTTACAAAATAAAGAGCCCTGAGCCCCGCCCTACCCTTCTGAACTGTAAATAAGAAGCTTATCAGTCAGCTTTCAGGGAGAAATTTGTCAGCTATGAGCTATAATGTGTTTCTGTGACCTCAGCTCCATCCAGTGGGGATTTGCAGTGAGGAGAAAAAGCCTACTCGGGCACCCCCACCTCCTTCCTTCCCTGGGGGGACGGTGGCCTCCCTTAGCCCGAAGTTTTTGTTACTGACAGATTTCACTTCACAAACCAAAATGTCATTAATTGATTGACTCAGCATAAAGCTTAAATATTTTTATTTTCTTGGAGAAGGACATACTGATACCTGTTTTCACTGTTTACCAGTGAAAATCACCTGTAAGTCTTGGAACAGGACCCTGAGTGGGTCACAGGGTCCCTGATTTCGGCCTGAGCTTCCTTCTGCCCTGAAGCTTTCCTTCCCATACCCTCCATGCCAATGCCAGCGACGCTAGGCGGGGTCGGGCACAGCTCCAGGTGTCGCTGAGCTCCTCACTGAAAGCACAGCAAACCGAGGACAGAAGGAGGAGGAGGAGGGAGTGTGCACGGCTTCGTGATTTGTGGACGTAGACACAGCGACACGGGACAGGCACAGCCAGCTTTGCCATGTGCTTGCACCGTGCCTGGGTCCCGTTAGCTGGCACTGTCACCCGGAGACGCTGAGGTTGACCCTTGAGCTGCAGCTGAGGGTGGCGTGCTGTGGGCCCAGGCAGCTCCACTCCACGCGAGCACCCGGCAGGCACCGGCGGTCAGCAGAGTTCCCAAGCCCGGGGCTGGCTTCTGCTCTTTCTCAGACACGCCCTCAGAAACTGCCCGCAGTGGGGCACTGTCTGTCTCCAGGGTGTGCGGCTCTCCACACATTTGAACCCTCTTTTGGTGGCATGAAAAACTTTATAGCACTTATGTGAAACTTTCTGTGTTTTTGAGTTGTGAGTTTTCAGGACACAATCAGTGTTTTCAAATTTAAGTTAGAGTTCCTTTACCTACCTTGCCCAGAAAATCTGTTAGAACAGAAAGAACAGCGCCTTGGAATGTGGCGTCAGCCACTCTCCTCCGTCACTATTTGCGTATTCAGTGATGTTTTGACCACCAAACAACACCTGAGCTCGCCCAGCGCCTCTGCATCTGAACCCCTCAGGTCTCAGGGAGATGGCAACTCTCTCTCACACGCACTCTCGTCCCTTTGCAGATCATTCCCATGCTGCAAGAGTACATAACCAACAAACTGGGGCGCGCGTTCATTGAGCCGCCCCCCTTCGACCTGTCCAAGGCGTTTGCGGACAGCCACTGCTGCGCCCCCCTCATCTTCGTGCTGTCTCCTGGGGCAGACCCCATGGCCGCACTCCTGAAGTTTGCTGACGACCAGGTACCGTGTGACTGATGAGGCCACCTGATGTCACTTTTCCCAAAAACTCTGTTTATGATCGAAACCTTAAGGGGTAAGAGAAAGGCAGGCTTGGGGCTCCAGGAGTTGATGGAGCCCCAGAAAATGATGCCTGAATGGCAGTGTTCTTAAAAAACAAATCCTTACCCAAATTAGGAAACAAGAATTTGGACTTTAGAGACATTGGCTTCTCCTTCTTCTTGGGCCAGGGAACGCTGTCACCTCTCAGTGAAGCAGGCCTCAAGTGACAGTAGCCGTGGACCAGGACGGTCATCTGTCCTCTCTGAAGGCCCATGGCTTTGTCACTAGGCAGAGCTGTTTCATGGACCAGGACCCACACAGAGCCATCTAATGCAGGACAGCGAGGAGCTGTCTGGGTCATCTCCCTGTCCCTCTGAGCCCTCCTATCTCTGAAAGGAGCCTCCACTCTCCAGGACAAGTGGACACTGTGGTCCAGCGGTGGTGAGCCCATGGCACACGTGCCACTGTGGGCTGTTTGTTATCACTGAAAACTCTAAAAAGTTCGCCATCAGTGTGGACAAATTCTATTACCAATGTTTCTACATTTGAAAAATCATCTGAATGAATTGACTATAAATGCTCTGATGCCAGAGTGATGAACAGGTGGCTGGCAGTGTTCTAGTTGATTTTTTTCTCCCTATTGGTATAATCAAATAACATTTGGGATGATACGACTGAGATTTCTAAAATCAATACCACCACTTTCTTTTTGAATGCATAATATAGTCTGTTAGCTTTGCCAAGCCACTGGGCACATTGTGCCTTAACTCCACAGAGTCCTGGCTGGGGAATGGTGGGATCTGCTTAGCAGTGTAGAAAGGGTTCTGGGAGGATACAGAACTGTGCAGCTTTTCAAGGTCACACAGCTTACAGGTTAAAATGCTCTCCACTTGGCAGTTTCCCTTGCATGGGTGTGTTTTTTCCATCCTGGAGAACTGACTGTCTAGCAAGGCACTCTGTGTATTTTTATAAAGTATCATGGCATGGCTGTCATGATTAGAGACGTCTGAGGTGTGTGAGGCACAGAGACAAAAGGTGTCCTGTTGCTGTGACACGGTACCCAACATCCGAAGTGTAAAGGAGGACAGACTCGTCTACCTCATGATTTCTGAGGATTCAGTCCATGCCAGCCAGTTTCATGGCAGACGGGCCTGGCAGAGGAAGGCTGCTCAGTTCACAGTGGCCAGGAGCAGGGCAGGGGACAGCCCTGGAGAGGAAGGGGCCAGGGACCAGACTGAAGTCCCTGTGTTCATACCTCCATGGCCAGCCAGGTAGACCGGGGCAGCCGTGCTAATCTGCTCAGTGCTTCTTAGCCCAGTGAAGCTGACACGTCATGATGAAGGGATCCGGGGTGCCGGGGCTCTTTATGGGCTGCTGTAAGGATTGTGAGTAAGACGGGTGGGAGGAAGCGGCAGGGTTTTAAGGGACAAAGTGACACAATGTAACCTGGGACTTACAAGGCCATCCTGCATGGTGTGTGAAGGACGGAGTGGTGTGGAATGGAAACAGACCCCTGGTTAGGGCAGTGGTAGCCCGGACTCGGGTGGTCCAGGGCCACCACTGGCAGCATAAAGGGTTAGTCTTGCATGGGGCTGCTTCTCCAATCAAGGTGACCGTGGTGACCCCAGGCGTGCTTTCTGGCTCCTCCCTGTCCTGCATTAGACGGCCCTGTGTGGGTCCTGGTCCATGAAACAGCTCTGCCTAATGACAAAGCCATGGGCCTTCAGAGAGGACAGGGGACTGTCCTGGTCCACGGCTACTGTCACTTGAGGCCCCTTCCGAGAGGCAGCCTGGTGCTAACTACCCTGGAGAGGAACGATCCTTGAAGTGCAGACAATCAGGGTGGAATCCAGCCACATCCACGGAAACATTCCCAGGAACCCTCAGAGAAGCCCTTGCAACTGAATTAGTGAGCAGGGCTCAGTCTCTTAATTGTATGCAAAAGCCACGTCAATTAAAATGCACTCACATGAAGAGAGAGAAGAAGCAGGACAAGTTCAACTGTGCCTGCACGGTTTTCCTTACAGCTTTGCACGTTGTGGCTTGCTACAGGACAGCCGATCCTGGGGGTCCCCTCCTTAAGCTGAAAGTTTCCGTAATGTTTTTTTTCCTCCCTCATAACATCAGCCAGAGACCCTGCAGATTTTCCGCTTATTACCACGGCTGACTCCCACCTGGGCTGACTGGCTTCCTTCCTAAGTGTTCATCAATTTTGAGTGCTTTAGGCCTGTTTTTTGGGGGTGCTGCATCATTACATTTTAACAGTTAATGCTAACATGTTTCCTAGGACAGTATGGACTCTTCTAGAACTGCAGTGTTAGGTGATGTCTTTTTTATTTTTCTCCTACACAGGGGTACGGGGGAGCTAAACTTAGCTCTTTATCTCTGGGCCAAGGCCAAGGGCCCATCGCGATGAAGATGCTGGAGAAGGCCATCAAGGAGGGCACGTGGGTGGTCCTCCAGAACTGCCACCTGGCCACCTCCTGGATGCCCACCCTTGAGAAGGTTTGCGAGGTGAGCCGGGCTCTGGCTGTCGCTCAGAACTCTGTCCAGAGGGACAGGAGGGGCGCGCGGTTGGGTCCCTTCATGGATTGAGGCTTATGGGGATGGGAATCCTGTCATCCAGCGGGGCTCAGAGATCCAGCCAAGCCCCCGGGGAGCTGGGACCCAGCTCAGGGTTCTCAGTAGTGAAGGCAAGCCGCAAACACGGGAGGCTCCTCGCTCCCATCCAGCCCTCCCGCTGGCAAGCCGTGGAGGGTCAGTGTGACTCCTGCCCACCCTCCTCAAGGGCTTCCCGCCACTCTTCCTGTCTTTGGTGAGTGGAAATTTCTGGAGGAAGACCCCGCACTGCACAGTGAGTAAACAGATGTGCTGGCCCTCGATTGTGGCAGATGTACACAGAGGACCCGTGTCCCCGGGAGACAGCCAGGACTCCAGTCCTGCTCTCTCCCTTCTTAAACAACCCATAAACATGGCTCAGTAACCTAGGTAATGACAACGCACTGACCAATCCACAAAGACGTCAGGTGACAGATGAGTTTGTCCTGAAGGCCTCAGCAGGAGGTTCATTGTGAGTTCAAGACCAGCTTGGGCTACAAAGTGAGCTCAAAGCCTGCCCAAACTGCAATAGTGACACCCTGTCTCAAAAAGACAAAAAAGAAAGAAAGAAAGAAGATTATAGAGACCTCTGTATCCTTTTTATTTACCCTACTTCTTTGCCAAATGAGCACACAAAATTTTTTTAGTGACAAAAATGTGTGATTTGCAAGAAATGTGGACACCTGTGACACAGGCAGTGGAGGAGACTGGACAGGAAGTAGGACAGGCACCCAGCGTGTGACTCTGCGGCCCTGGTGGCAGGGCTGAGGGAGACACTGTCCTCCTCTCGATCTGAGCCCTTAAGCAAGCAGAGGTCACAGGAGAACACGGCTCAGCGCTGCAGGGCACAGCACGGCGGGCAGCGCTCAGACCCTGAGAGCAGCCATTAGAAACAGCTCTGCGCGGTGAACCCTGGCTATCTAAGTGCATGCTTAGCCTCACACTTGGCTCTGGAAAGAAGGATGTGTCTTAACCTAGCTTTGGGCTCACAGTGATTTCTGTAAACATTTTAGCACTGCGGGTGCAGGTGGAAGAGTTGGGGGGCTGCCGTTGTCCTTACTTTGGCCAGCTCTGAGCTGCCTAGTGCCTGGCTAGGCTTTGCAGCTGTAGGAGTTAACTTCATCCAGAGAAAGACGGCACTCGGGCCTTCAGTGTGAAGCTGTGCGTTGAGGAGCGGAGACAGATTTTTAGGACTTTTCCTGAAAATGTCAGCAGTGACACCTGTATCTTATAGAAACGCTTCCTCCACCTTCTAGCCTGACCCTTGTGTGTATGATCTTGAAATTTTCTGGGGGGCTCTTATTTTACCCGTCTGCATCTGATTCATTCTCTTCCAGGAGTTAAGCCCAGAATCCACGCACCCCGATTTCCGGATCTGGCTGACAAGTTACCCCTCTCCAAACTTCCCCGTGTCGGTGCTGCAGAACGGAGTCAAGATGACCAATGAAGCCCCGAAAGGGCTGCGCGCTAACATCATCCGGTCGTACCTCATGGACCCCATCTCTGACCCCGAGTTCTTTGGCAGCTGCAAAAAGCCTGTGAGTCAGGGCCGCATCTCCTTACCTCAGCCCCGGCCCACGGTTCCAAGGCCCTGGGTGACCGGGATGGGGTGCTGAGCAAAACTGCAGATTAAGCAGGACCCCCTGGCTGCAGTGCAGTTGATTACTGATTATTGAGTGTGCTGAAGTCAATTTTATTAATATTTTATTTTAATTTTACCACCGGCTTCATTGCTGCTCACGAGGTCTTCTGGGGGATCATTAATAATGTAGCTTTCTGTTCGGAAAGTCAGCCGTTAGCCATCCCCACTCCAGACCTCAAAGGTTGGAGAATCTTGTTTCAAGATATTAACTGAGCCCTTAGCCATTGGAGCCATATCTCTAAATTAAAACGTAAGAATATTTCCTCACTATAACCATAATGCAAGCCAGAATGGTTTCCCTCGCTGATTGATGGGGCTCATAAGGGTCTTTCTCGGCACCGCCAGGCAGCAGGGAAAACACCCACTTGCTTCCATGATTAGAATTCTGCGTGAATGTCTGTGACCTAAAATTGTTTCACAATAATTGAAAATGGAAGAGTTTCTTTAAGAGGGTTGTGAACCTTGGGAGGTGTTGCCATTAAAGAGCTCACAGGGTTGATGTCTAAATAGAGATCTCTAAATAGAGGTCTCTAAGTGCATAGCCTGTATTCCCACCAAGTCATTAAACATAAAGAAGTGCTTTCATTAAATGAAAGCTTGGGCGCTTGAAACAGGCACCTAAGCTTGTAAGCTCCTCACACCTTGACCTGAGATTCCAAGGCCTGTCATGCTCCTGGTCTTCCCGGTCATCAAGCCCTGAGGGTACGCATCCCGTCCCTCCACGTAGGCGGTGAGATTTCTGCTCCAGCGAGGCAGCGACCTTTATAGGGTGTAACTCTACCTCCCTTCTTTTAGATCCAAAGATCTCACCAGCAGTCGCCAGGTTTTAGAGGTGCGGGAAGGCAGGAAACAGTCCCAACTCAAACCAGAACCTCAAATGCCAGGGCAGTGGCTCACAGCTTTTTTGTTTTGACATTTTATTTGGTAATAATTTTAAACTTACATATTGCAAGAATAAAAATAGCGTAAGGAACACTCCTGTCCCTTTACCCATGTCCGTCACTTGGGATATTTTACTCCTGTTTTTTAGCATTCGTCTGTCCTCTCTCACCACAGATGCAGATATGAGATAGACATGCTCACGGACAGCAGACCAGATCTATAGGCAGACCTGTCCCCTACATGCAGAGAGGCCTGATTCCAGGACCGCAGATGCCAAAATCTGCAAGTGCCCCAGTCCCTGATATAAAATGGAACAGCATTTATATATAACACACACACATACACTATATACCCCTACATCATACATATAATATGTGCACAGTGTGAATGCTAAGAAAATAGTCATTAATGAATCATCTTGTCTAGGAAATAATGACACGAGAAAAATCTATTCCACACAGATGCACTTTTTAAAAGTAATTTCAAAATATAAAATTCTGGTTGAATCCACAGCAGAGAATGTGGCGGTCCGATTGTATATGTGCATACATGTGTCCACATGTGCACACACACACACACACAGCCATACTGCAGCAGCAGGTGAGTTGGTTACACCATGGTCCCTCATCCTTGAATGCGCCAGTGTACATTTTTAATGAGCAGGAATATTCCCTTCTCTCAGGACAGTCCTTACCGCTAAGAAGATGCACCATCATGTCTGAGTGCCTGTCTGTGTCCCAGTGTGTACTGTCCTCTGAAACCTTCTCTCTGTTCACACAAGCATCGCTCCGGGTTGGACCTTGCCTTTATTTACCATTTCCTGTTGCCCCCTGGAGCCTGCACCCTCTCTGCAGCCTTTCTGTGTCTCTTAGAATGTGTCCCAGTTCTTAGCCAAAACACGATGCAGATGACACTTTGTCCTCAGATGCACCCAGGAGCATGAGGTCTCAGCCGAGATTCTCCACTGTGTAAGGACAGCTTCCTCTACTTCAACCGATAGTCTGTGGAGAGAGATCTCAGGGCATGGAAACATTTGCTCCCGGTGAAAATCCACCTCACCCGGCCTGAGCCGCCGCTGCTGATTCTCGCCTCATCTAGTTTTTCCTGTGGCGGCTGCAGCCTTGGGATTCGACTCTTGACAGCTGGCGTTTACCGCAAGCCGTGACTGTTTTTTCAGTCCAGTTCGGCAATCTGCAATTGGTCTGGAATTTCTGAGGACTTTCCCCGATGGCTTATAATTTGTTAGTTAAGTCTCTTGATACTAATATTGTTCAGATTTGATCAATGGAATGTTCAAACTGGTTTCTTTGTACTTAGCACAGATCCTGTGTTTTAAAAAAAAAAATAGTTGTCATGCCTTTCGAAGAGCCCAGCTTCCCATTAGTGGAAGATGGCCTTCCAGACTATGTCTGGTGTCAACTCATGCATTATCTTTGGTGCTGAGCCTTCTTTGGAGAGGACGTGGAAATGCATACGCGCAAAGAATACACATGGGTATACATGACCCAAGTACTAGTGCACGTACTTGACCACACTCACATTTTAGACCTGGTGATTTATCCGGCATGTCCAGTTTCAGTGCCCAGGGGTCAGCCCTGCTTTTCTGAGCTCTGTGTTTGTGCATCCTTCCCTCTAACGCTGAGCGATCTGGGCTCTGACAACGTCCCTGCCTGTGCCGGTGAGGTCGGCTCTCCAGCACGGCTTTAGAAGTTCCAGAATTAGCCATCGAGCTTTCCTTCCACTTCTCTGGCTCAGTGCATGCTGCTTGCCTTTTGTCAAGTTTAAGCCACCTTCCAGTGTATCCTGCGAAGGGAAGGCTCGCCCCAGCAGCTCCGCCGGTGACCTGCCCCACGTGGCAGTGGCCGCAGCCCTGGCTCCCAGCACTCCTTACCCCTGATCGAGCCCTATGGACCTGAGCACATTCACCCCCTGGCTGCTGTGCCTGCCCCAGGCCTGTCTGCCCTCAGGACCCTGGGTGCCACCCTCAGAGGGAACGTGGTGACCACCCTGTGGCAGTGACTGCCCTGCCATGGCTGCTCTGACTCTCAGGCATGGGTGTTGTACCTTCCTGGGCGCCCAGGCTGCAGGAATCCATGTCACCCCTCTGAGCAGCCTGAGGCCTTCTCACCAGCTTGGCTGGGATGGTGGCCTCCGCACGCCCTTCTCCCTGCCAGGGGGACAGGTAGGCTCCTGGCACGGCAGTGGCTACGTTGGGGAATGTCTTGTGAGGTTCGCCTCGTTGGTTTTAGGGGTCGAGCAGGTGGACTGACCTCTTTTGAATTTTGTTCATGGTGACCCAGGACTACAGATTAGAATTCGGGATTCTTTTTTCTTACATTTTTTAGTTTTATTAGTCTGTGTTTGCGGTACGTGAAGGTCACTTTCACCACGGGGAATTGGTACTTGGATGCAACCCAGGTTCACCCTCCCTGTCCTCTCCCTGCCTTCCCCTCCCAGCTGTCTCTTGGCCCCTCCCATTTGCAGCAACTCTAGCATCCTGTTTCTTGTGTTTTATTTTGCTCTTTATTCATAACTTGGGGTTCTTATAAGACAAACTACGTGGTATTTAAGCGTGTGTGTCCGATTTATTTCACTTAACATTGTGCTCTCAAGGTGCATCCATGTTCCCACACATGACTCAAGTGTGTCCTCCCTAATGGCACAGCAGTGTGCCGTGGTGTGCAAAGGCCTCATTTCCCTTCTCTGTTCATCTGACAGCATGCGGGCTGCTTCCAACCTCTGGCTATTAGGAATTGCGCTGCTATAAATGTGTGCGCATGGCTGAGTGTAACATTCTTACCTTCTGATGCTTTGGTTGGAAGCCCCAAAATCCTGTAAGGTGACACTGTTAGACGAGCCTGTCACACTTTCGGAAACGCTGGGTGTACACAGCAGTGAGCCGACTCAGCTCGTGTTCAGATAGACATGTTGCTGCTTGACAAGATGATTTTTTAAAAAACCTAATTGTTTCAGTTATGCTTAGAAGTAAATATTCTCCTATGATGTTTATAAGCTAACAAGTTTTACTACTTTCATTTTTTATTATTTTTTAGTTTATGGAAAAAATAAAACAATTTCATAACAAAGTAATGGGAGAAACACAGTGATTACTGCATTGCATACCGTCATCTTCAGAGTACTTACTCAGAGTACAAGGTAGGGGCACAAAAGTCCCCAACCAGTACTAGCACGAGGCTTCCTTTCCAGGGAACCAAGAGCCACTGATGGTGCGGCTTCCTTGCGTACTTCTTCCTTTCCCTTCCTTTCTCCATTCCTAGCTCCTCTTTCCTTTTTAACAATTTCTTCCCACTCCACAATGTCGATTGTACATGTCAGACTGTATTTACTCATATTTCACTTTCTCACATCAGAGAGACAATACGATGCTTACACATGTGTGTCTGTTTTTTTGTCTTTTTGGTGTTTTTTTTTTTTTTTGTCTTTTTCTTTTTTTATCGGTACCAGGGATCGAACTCACGACCGCCTGCTTGCAAGGCAGGTGCTTATGCCGCTGAGCTAAATCCCCAGCCCCGCGTATCTTTTTTATTTCACTTAGAGTCTGGTCTGGAGTTGCATCCATTTACCTATTAAAAAACTCAGTTCATCCTTTATGGCTGAGTAGTACTCCGTTGCAAGAAAATACCACATCTTTTTTATTCCTCAAACTTTCATTTATGCAGTGGGGTGCCGGGGAAGTGATGTGAGGCACTGCCTTCTTGTTGCAGGAGGAATTCAAGAAACTGCTCTATGGCCTCTGCTTCTTTCATGCTCTGGTCCAAGAGCGGCGGAAGTTTGGGCCCCTGGGCTGGAACATTCCTTATGAGTTCAATGAGACGGACCTACGCATCAGCGTCCAGCAGCTGCACATGTTCCTGAACCAGTACGAGGTAGGTGACCCGAGGGGCACGGCCACCTCTGTCTGGATGTCCCTGAGCTCCCCGGGACAAGAATGGCAGGGCAGGCGCCAGCAGCACGTTAGATGGTGCTTCATTCCCACGGAAACCTGCATTTTACCTGTATGTACACATACACACCCAGGGCGATCTGAAAAGGAATCGCATTGCATGCATTCTGCAAAGGACTTAAGCCCAGGAATCGGCTGGGCTCTGTACTGGAAAAGAAAGTCAAGCAGACCAGCTGTGTCCTGTTCTGGAGCATGACTTTATGCTAGAGGAATGTCACTGTCCTTTCACGGCATGGCCACTCGTCAGGAAAGCAAACCCGTGCAGCCATCGGTGTCAACCTGATGCTCAGGCTCCGGAAGGAAGCCAGGCAGACGGGAGTCACATCAGCCATTCACTAATTCCCGCCTTCCCCCCTCCCTCATTCATTCACCCCCCACCCCACACACACGCACACACGGACACATGCACACACACGCAGCCTGTGGGCCTCTTTTCTAACACTTGTTCACTGACTGGTTTTTATCATGTTTGCACCCCTGAAGAACTGTTTGCTGAGAAAGCTCAAGCCCCCTGTAAGGATAAGGAGCTTTTCATAAAAAGTGAGTTTTCTAAATTTTAGTAGAATTTTGTGGAAATTTACCTGGAAATATTTAACTCATTAAATGAATAAAGTGTCAGCAATGTAAGCTTTTGAAACCTTTAGTGAATTATGACTTTTTATCAAGACTCATAGACAGGAAGGCATGGAATTCCATATAAAAACAAGAAAAATGACTCAGCAAATAAAGACCGAGAGCTCAGTGGTGTATGTAAACGTGTGAAAAATCTTTCATCTGAGCTTTTGTGTCTCAGGACAAATTCCTGTTCAGTACTCAGTGAAACAAGTTGAGATGGCCTTCAGGTTTATAGCATTCACAATGAGGAAAACACAGATGAATAATACGTTTGATGAGTTTCTTTCTTGTAACAACAGAGAAGAAAATCTGATGACGCATTTCACGTAAAAGATTATATTTTTCAATGTTAAAAGTAAAAAATGAGATCTTCCATTTAGCAATTTGTTTTGAATACCTAGAGTACAATATATTTTAATTTAAATCAGTCTCTGATGATGTCAATTAAATGTTTGCAGCTACAGAAGTCTAGTTTAACATCCAGAATAATTCAGACATTAACATTATCTGACACATCAACAGACTAAAGAGACAGCTGTCCCTGATCCTGTTGATAGGAACAGGAAAAGCATGCGAAAAAATCCCGCACTCATCGTGGTTAGAAGCACACGCAATAAACCAGGAACAGGAGCTGGGAGAGAGGGGACTTCCTCGGTTCTACAGGAGCATCTAAAGAATTGCCACACTAATGTCCACGAGAGTGGTGTCCAGGGAGACCGATGTCATCATGAGCAGCAGGACATCCTGCCACCCACACCAGCATCCAACTGCCTCTCTGGCGTCACCCCAGGGCCTCAGGGCAAGGTGCCCAGACATTTCTGTATCGAGTCCCGGTCACCCCAAAACCACGCTTCACCAGCCACTGCGTGGAGGAGCTCCGGCCCTCCCCGGTCGGGGTCCTGTGAGCTGCTGCAGATGCAGCCTGAGGTCACCTTGCCAATGTCTGCTCTGCCTGCACCGCCCTCCTCTGCTGGGTGTGGGGTCTCACTTGGAGTCACCCCGTCTGTGCCCAGGGAGACCCCCATCTGCCAGGATTGCTGGGGACGGAGCTGGAGAGCAAGTGAAGATGCATGTCCCACCCTGTGGCCACCTCTGCCGCTCACACCACCTGGAAATCTCATCTCCCTGCCCGCATCGCCAGCCAGCCGGGCCTCAGGCCCCTGCCCGCTGTCCTGTCCGAGCAGGTGCGTCTGCACCTGGATCTCTTTCATTTTCATGAGATGGGCAACGAGACACACTCCTCCTGTGTGTGTGGCTGGGCACCACAGGAGGCCCAGAGATGTCCCGGATTGGGGATGTCAGTCCTTCAGTGTGGCTCACAGGACAGCACTGCTGAATTCACCGTCTGTGTATGAGCAGATCTGACTTCAGACCCCTGACTCTATCAGTGGCCGCTCACTGCAACCGCCTCATCCCCGGGCTGTAATCTGATGGCAATCCCTGGAGTGGAGGAGCTGCACACTTCACAGCTTCAAGGTGACCACCTGGAAGAAGAGGATTAAAAGGCACGAAGTGGCTGAAAAGACCCTTGGGTAAAGTAGTGCTGTGTACATATAAAATAGCACCATATTAAACTTCCATAAGCAACTAAGCTCCCTGCAAATGAAAGATAAATAAAAACTGGAGGAAACACCCAGTAGTTATTTGACAGGCTGCTTCAATATCTTTATAAAGAGCTTTTAATAAGAAAAATGCATACCCGTAATCCCAGCTATTTAGGAGACTGATGCAAATTCAAGGCCAGTTTGGGCATCGTAGTGAAACTCAGTCTCAAAAAAAAAAAAAATCATTCAACACATGAACAGAGTAGACAGCTTGCAAAACAGTTAAAAATCAATAATATTTAAGGAACATTTTAAAATGTCAATATAAACATTAAAATTTTACAGTTTCATGTTTTGATCATTGTCAGGTGCTGTGATATACACTCGTAGTCCCAAGCCCAGCTGGGGCGCTTTAGCAATTTAGCAAGACCCCGCCTCAAAGTTTAAAAAAAGAACAATCAACTGTTTTTTCTCTAAATGATAATGCACCGTCCTGTTGGGAACAGTGAGAAATAGAATTCTCTATGCTACTTGTGGATACATAAATATTTATGCTCAGGATAAAAGAAATTGTGATGTGAACACGCTAAATACCATATGAATTCACGAACATCTAAAATTCTGTATGCTAGAAAATATGACGCAAAAGGAAAAAAAGAGAACTGGAGAAGCAATTTTCATAAATAAATGCCAGTTAATAGGTACCTACACGGACAAAGACTGTTAAAACTTCAGTACAAACTAAAGGAGCCTCGCGCCTGGGACAGGGGCACCGAGCGTGAGAGAACTGGGGATCCCTGTACCCTAAAACAGTGCATCCTCTGACCACTCAAAGGCCAGCAGGTGTCAACCTGGCCGTGACAGGTGCCGCCGCCTCTTAGAAAAGAATGTGTGGCCAATTGCTTTTGTAAACTCCTCTTTCTTGGAAAAGAAATGTCAGTTTCAAAGTTTTTCCACAGATTCATGACATGGCTCAAAAATCATTTAAGATTTGTTGGCAAGCTAGATATGAAGTTGATTCCACATGATTCCAGGCGTCAGAACACACATGGGATGCAAAGAGCCCAGGCGGGATCACGGCCGGCTGAGTGGTGCGGGGTTTGCTCTGCCCGTCACCAGTAGGCGGGCACCCTGGTGTCTGTGCGGAGCACGTAGTAGGTGCTCACGTAAGGCAGGTTGAGTGGGGGAGGCCTTCACGCGTGAGTGGAGGGTTCAAGTCTCCGCACTGACTGCGTGGAAAGGAAATAACGGGAAAGGAGGGCGAGGCCCTGGGGGGCGGCAGCACGTGGCAGGGAAGCTTGCAGAGCGCAGCACACAGCTCGTGTCCTGTGCGATGTCTGCCTTCATTGGAGAGGGAACCAGAAGGGCCACAGCTCGTGTGCTCCGCCCGCCGCCCCGCTCTGACCCAGTCCCGGTTTCAGGAGCTGCCCTTCGACGCCCTGCGCTACATGACCGGGGAGTGCAACTACGGGGGCAGGGTGACCGACGACTGGGACCGGCGCACACTGCGCACCATCCTGAACAAGTTCTTCTGCCTGGAGCTGGTGGCCGACTCAGACTACCAGTTTGACTCGAGTGGCATCTACTTCGTCCCTCCTGTTGGCGATGTGAGTGGGGAGAAGGGCAGCGGGAGCGAAATGCAGGGCCTGGTGACAGTACACACACACCCCAGTGCGGTGGCGCAGGTTTGCTGGGGTGGGAGGGGTCCACAAGGGGTCTTGGCCTCAGGGAGTTGAAGAACCAGGTGGCCAAGAGCTCAGGGCTCCGAGTGGGGAGGCCTTGTCCCCGGGAAACGTGAGTACACACCCAGGAGGAGCGGGCGGTATGTACAACGCAGTTATTTACAAGCCTGGTACAGGAGGGGGCCTCCCTGGAGCAGCCGGTAACCTTGATAATACAGCTCTGCACTTGTACGAAGGGGAACCAGGGCCACTGGGGTCAAATGACAGGGCTGAGGCCTCCTGGGAGAAGGTGCCTGGGGATGACACACGCGAGCTGGCCAGAGCCTCTCCATCCCCGGTCGTCACACAGCTGGCCTCTGGGGAATGACGGCAGGACAGCCTCGTAGCTTCAGATGTCCAGCCACATGTGACCAAGTCGCTTCCTGTAGCTGCCACTGCAGACACCGCCGCCCTCTAGGTGGATGCTGCAGGTGGCAGGTGTTGGTCTGTAGCGAACACACACACTCCAAGGGTGACAGAAACATTTCCTGGAGGAAATCTCTAAATTTTCATACCAGAATTCCTTTCCCATGTTTAAAAACCTATTCCAGGGGGTCAGGGGGTGCAGCTCAGCGGCATAGTGTCTGCCCGGCAAATGCAAGGCCCTGAGTTTTGATTCCTGGTACTCAAAAGACAACAACACAACAACAAAACTATTCCAACTGAATGTCCCAGGTCCCTTTCCTTCAGAATGTGTCCAGATTGTTTTTGAAACTTTGTCCCTGACTGCCAGACTGTGGAAACCCTCAGTGTGCAGCCTGAGCTGAGTGTCGTAATTCTCCTTTGGGGTGAAATCCCACGGTGGGACTGATTCCCAGCGCCCTCTGTCGTCTTGACCTCCACAGCACAAGAGCTACATTGACTACACCAAGAACCTGCCGCTGACGCCCGCACCCGAGGTCTTCGGGATGAATGCCAATGCCGACATCACGAAAGACCAGGCAGAGACGCAGCTGCTGTTCGACAACATCCTTCTTACACAGGTGTGTGACCTGGGCAGGTGAGACCGGGGCGTTTGGAGGACGGGAAGTGCATTCGAGGTGCAGTCGAGCAAGTATACGATTACAGCAAAAGACATGTCACCGTGAACCCCTGCACCGTCCTCCCCGGCACTGCAGACAGGCTCATCCCATTGCTCCCGCCATTTCCCACGCAGTTCTAGAGTCCTCTTTCTGTGGTGTCTTTCTAAGGTGTGATCAGAAATTCGGGAGTGCTGCTGCGGAGCACCACCCAAAGGACGGGCAGACTTGTAAAAGCATGAGGCTCCGTCCTCAGCCACCTGAGTCACCAGGTCTGGCACGGTGTGACTGCTGGCTCTTCCCCAGAGTCAAAATGACCCCGAGAGGTAAATGCTTTGAACTGATTCAGGACATCGGGGCAGCAGCCACAGCCCACAGGACGCTGGGGAAAGAGAACTGCCTGGGGAAGTGAGCTCAAAGCAAGAGGCGGTATTTCAGGGGACATTCATGGCAACATTAAAAAACTTAATCACTCAGTGTGGTATCCTGTCACAGCTTGCATATTCCTGAAATGTGGCTTTAAACAGAGTTCGTGGACAAAGGGATTTTTTTCCCACTAATCTTCTGTTTTGGATCCAAGACACTTTCTTTGAGCATTTCCATCGTCCTAGGAATTTCAGCTTGTCTTTCTCTGACAATGTACTGTCTTTCCCCATTACATTTAACACCCCTTTTAATTTCTTCCAAGTGAAAAAAAAAAAAGAATTTCAAAAATACTCAGAACAGACTCCATCTAGAATTTCACACATTTTTATGTTTTAGTCTCTTACTAATGTAGCAAAACACATTCCACAGCGATTCTAGTGCACACAGAACAGTCCTCCGCACACTCAGGTCTTATGAGATTATGTAGCATCCGAAACCTGAGTGGGACCAGTGAATGCAGAAAGAGTAACACGGGTGGGAGGGACAGGAGCACCCGCAGGGGCAGCACTGCCAGAGAGCTCTCGGAGGCAGGGTACTCCTGGGTGGGCTGCCTTCGTTCATCCCGGGGAGACTGTCTACGGAGGGAGTTCTGCTGCCTCATCCCCCCCTCAGAAGATGTGCTGACTTGTTTTTGAATTTTTCAAAGCACATGAGTAAAATGGCGAGAGTTTCTGTAGTGACTAACAGAAACTGTAATAAATGAGGATGGGTGTCCAGTCAAGCACATTACCCACCGACTGAATTCTAACTGCTGCATTTGGGTGGCATCTCTGGGTGAAGCTGATGTTGGTTAACATTGGCACCACAGTGCCTGTGCATTAGCACTAATCCCCGGTGCATCACGCTGCTGCCTCTTGACAGCCCCACAGGGGCAGGGCTCTCATGAACCCCATCTCACAGCTAGAAAGCAGGCATGAAAAGATTAAGCCATTTTCCCAAAGTCAGCGAGTACAGTGGGGAGCCAGGACTCAGGGCCACGCAATCTGGCTTCCACAGTCTGGCTCCAGATCCTGTGTCTGGAATTGCTATCCAGTCTAAAATTGGGGTGAGACCTAGAGGCAAAGGCGCTGAGAAACCCAGAATTTTGGAGGTGCTATGCTGGGTGTTAGTAATGGAAGAGCCCATGAAACTCGTATTTCTAGTCCATTCCATAGTGACATTTTCTAATGAGGCAAAAAGCACACACACTGGTAGCACTAAAATCAGTTATTGCCCGAAGGGTATAAAATTGTATGAAAAACCCTAATAAGTACATCTTTAGGAGCATGTGACTTGTGTACCATGCAGTAATGTGAAAACAGGACACACATGGTGACCTTGGGTTTATTGAAAGCTGATGGGGCGTCGCACTGCGGATCATGGCAGGCTCAGCCCAACAGAAGATGACTCAGACCCAGCGGGCGAGCTTACCCAAGCAGGGCACCTTCCCCGAGTGTGATAAGCCACCTCCTTCCGGCCCCCAATCCCAGGTCCCGGGTGGCTACCGAATGGCTCAGCAGTCCTTCCTTCGGGGACTCTCAATTCCAAGGCAAGGAGACCCAAACTGCAGAGCTCAGGGCTCCGGTTAATGGTGGCGAGACGTCATAGGATTGTACTGCAGTTAGACATTCTATAAAGAAGAAAAAGGGGCGATTTTGGAGTTGTCTGTCATCTTGGCAGAGATGTTTGATGTCTATGTCACTGCCGTTCTCTATTTTGAACAGGGAAATCGTTACCACCTAAAACATTATTGAACTAAACAGCCTAGGATCTCCAAAAAGGGGCAATTTCCTGATGACTCTTTAAAAATAAATTTCACTTTTCTTTGATAAAAGAAAAACAACCCTTAGATGGTTCCAAATGGCAAAGATAATTGAAAGGAAAAAGCTAAGATAGACAATTCCAAATAAATAGGACTCCATCGCTCTTCATTCTTAGTGTTAGTTGGATATTACTTTAAAAATCTGCCACCCTACATATATGATCTTACTATGTGTAAAATAAATAAGGAGAAGTATTAAATATTATTAAAATATTTTTCCTAACAATTTTTCAGTTTAGAGGCCTGCACTTTTATTTTTAAGTTTTGTTTGGGGTTTTCTTTTGGATGCGAGGAATCAAACTCAGAACCTCACACTTGCCAGGCAGGTGCTGTGCCTCTGAGTAAAATCCTGGCCCTATTTAGTTTGTTTTTATGGGATCATGGCTCTTGTTAGAAAATATGAGCTTTCTAATGAGTTTCTAGTACCCTATGTGCATGTCAAATCAAAATCAAAATCAGCATATGATTTTTGAAATACAGTGGAAATAGATCTTAGTTTGGACCAAATCTTCACTGTCTTTTCTGTTCTCTGTGATTTTTAAAATTTATTTAAATACTTAACCATAAACCAAGCACCTTTGAGATTGTAGTAAAGGATTTTTATATGAGCACATCTCTTTTTTACTAACCCATAATTAAAACTGATCAACATTTAATTATTTTATTGTGCAACTTTAGAAGATCTTAAAGTGGTAAGGGGTAGGTAGAGACAGGTAAAAATCATAGTTAATATTTGTGGTATAATTTATAAAATTTTTAATATGTATGTCATGGAAAGCAGGAAATATAAAAGAAAGGAAACTAAACACCCCCTCCTTGGACTAGAAAAACATGTTCATTCATATTTAAAGATGCTTATCCTCTAAACACACACACACACATGCACACACACATACATTTGTTTTAAAGAGTTTGTCTTTGTTTCCCCTCATTGCTGGGACAAAATACCTGACACCCAAAATGAAGAAAGGTAAAGCTGATTTAGCTCACAGTTTGTGGAGGTTTCAGTCCATGATCAGCTGGCTCCATGGCAGGGTGGCCTGGCACAGGGGCGACAGTTTAAGGCTGTAGAAGACAGCAAAGGCAGCCAGAGCCAGTCTCTTTTCCTCCCTTAGCTGTAAGCAGGCGACTACTCCCCGCCCCACAGCAGGTGTATCTTGTTCTTTCCTCTGCACAGGCTGAGGATGTTTACAAAGTAAGGATTCTGGCTCCCTGCTGAATCTCTTACTTTAAGTCTTTAAACTTATTAAGTTGACACAATGTATCAACCATAGCAGAGTTGGAGAGATTTTCCAGAAAATATCAATTCCTTTACAGAGTGCCACTGTAAACATAAAAAGCAAAAGTGGAATGGAAATTCTTCTCCAGGGAGCCTGGCTTGAGTCACTGACTTCCAGCTGCAGGGAGGAGATAAGCTGATTTTCTCTGTCCTTGCTGGTCCCAGGAGAAAACTCCATCTCTGCTCTTGGCCACTGCCAGGTGCCAGAGCTGCAGCAGATCCACTTGGGACCAGCTCTCTCCTGGGCTCCCCTCCGCCTAAGTGGGTGCCTCCATTGGCTCCCACACCCCCGAAGCTGAATGCAAACCCACCTCACACTGACTACACAATTGTTTTCATTACTTGAATAAATCTTGTCATAAACGAAGCAGCTGGACGGTATCCACTCCTGCAAAGCTTCGCCTTGGGATTCCCCTTCCCGGCTCTTCCTGGGCCCTTAGGAAGATGTCTGAGTGATGGCTTGGCTCCTTCAGTCTCGCTCTGCAGGTGCTGGTGCAAAGTCCTCAGAAGAAGTCGTAAACGAGGTGGCCGGTGACATCCTGGGGAAGCTGCCCAGCAACTTTGACGTTGAGGCAGCGATGAGGAGATACCCGACGACCTACAACCAGAGCATGAACACTGTCCTTGTCCAGGAGATGGGGCGCTTCAACAAGCTGCTGGTGACCATCCGAGAGTCATGCATCAACATCCAGAAGGCGATCAAGGTGAGGCGACCCTGCAGGTGACATGCAGCGGTTCCTAGTCAGCAGTCCTGGGTGCTGCCGTGTGCAGGCACACTTCTGGATTCCAAGCACAGGAAGCTGCGCCCGTTCTCCAGGGCTCACAGGCTTCCAGCGGGGCAGTTAGGAGATGGGGAGCCATGGGGCGAGGCTGAGGACGCAGAACACTAAGGAGTGGGGTGGAGTGAACCAGCACCGGCTGCATTGGTGAGGGACCCGCCCTGTGGGAAACCGAGAAGACAGGAGTAGGCACAGAGGTGACCCGGGACAAGGTCCCAAAGGACAGCAGAGGGGGAGTCCTGGAGCTGAGGAGGAAGAGCGTCAGGACAGGGGTGGGGGACCTACCAGGTGACAGCCAGCTGGGAGGACCCAGCCCAGAGCCCTGAAGGCAGCTCAGTCACCACGGAGGTGCCAGGGCACAGGATGGACCCATCAGGACAGCGTCCTGGCCAAAGTCAGGTCTAGGATTAGGTTTTAAAGCCTGAGGGGAAAGGGACGGCTTCAGAGGGCTTTGAACAGGGCAGCAAAGTGTTTTCCGTTCTTCACGTTGGCGCTGACCACTATAGAAAGGATCGAGGCAGAGCAGCCCGACTGGCTGTCACTGTGGTGAGTGAAGCGGCGTGGTCTTGGTCGCTGAAGAGTCACCCTGGTGACACCTGGGGAACCACAGAGGAGTCGGGGATGACGCCTCAATACTTCCCCAAGACAGTGAAAGTTCTGGAGAAGGAGCCATTTAAAGAAGTCCGGGAGTTGTGGCTGGGTTAATTTAAAATGCCCCAGACTCCACGAGACGTGGGTGGCTGGTAGACACAGGCTGTAGAGCTGGAGAGGGAAGGTGAGTTCAGAGGTAAGTAGCGTGCAGGTTACAGTTAGAAATGAAACATGTGAATGAATCAAACATTTGAATAGTGCTGATGAGCATAGGTCACTGAGAAGTGTCCGTTCCTCCCATTGGACTATTTGATTCGTGAATGACTTAAAATTTCCTTTTTTGCCATAACCTTTCACTGTTCTCTTCCTATTTGGGAAAGAAAATATGTCAAAGCTAAATAGTCCTTATTTTAAAAGACCAATAAAAGTGACCAAGAATCTTAAAGTTCATTTGGAGCCAAAAGAGACCTAGAACAGCAAAAGTAATTTGGGGCAACAAAGGCAAGGCAGGGGCATCACAGTCCCTGAGTTGAAACTGTACTGTGAAGCTACAGTGATAAAAACAGCATAGCATTGGCAAAATAGGTAAATAAAAGAGACCCAGGACTGATGGACAGATTAGAAGATGCAGAAACAACTTCAAATACTTCATCTTTGACAAAGGAGCCAAACACTGTCAGTGGGAGGAAGAGCCTCCTCAATACATGGTGCTGGAAGAAATGACTTTCTACGTGCTGAAGATTAAAACCAGACTTGGACCTTTCACCACTGACTACACTAAAACTGAAGTGGATCTAAGTTCTAAGTATTAAAACAGAAACACTAACTCTGCCAGAAGAGAGAACAGCAGAACTCTTGGAGACACTGGTGTAGGTGTGGATGCGTTCGTTGGAAACTGTGCGAAGCAGCAGGAAGAGCTGTGGTCCCCTGAGGTTTACAAGTTGACCCTTTACTTAGAAACGTGTCCTCACGTCGGGAGCCTGCTCTGTCTTTCCTTCCAGGTGGGAACCCGTCGTGCTGAGGGAGCCCTGTGACGGCTGCAGGTTGGCGATGGGGTTGTGTCGCCATAGTGACTGAGGCACACTCGTCCGCTCTGTCTGTCCTCGTCTTCCTCCTCTTCCCGGGGAGAAAGGCTGACGTCAGCGCTGTGGGAGCTGCAGGGAAAAGCAGCCACGGGGACCTCGATGTGCAGTGGCCACGCATTCACCTACCAGCCCTGGGCTCAGCACGACACCCGGACCTCAGCGGAACCAGGCACCCGACTCTAGGGAGTTGCATTTGCCCTGCCAGGTTTCATTCAGACAGCTGGTGTGCCCTTTTGGGGGAGCTGGTCTGAGAGTTTACTTTGTGACTGGTCCCGAAATCCTTCTCACTGAACACCACTCTCCTTTCCAAAACATCTTGGGCCATTAGTGCGTAAAACTTTTTGAGTGACCCTCCGTGAGCTCCTAGCTGGTTCTTGGTGCCCTCTCTGCCAGCCCATCTGCCTCTAGCTCCTGAGGTTGTGTTGTCCCTTCTTCTGTTTATTTTCTGCATTAGTGGCCTTATGCCAGTGTTGGCAAATCCATGGCACACGTGTTGTCTCTCCTTGAAGGCAGGAATGTTACTTTATGTGCTGTTTTCTCTAAACTAAAGCCTCAGAAGTCAGGGTTAACTGTAGGACTGGCTCAGGGCCGTAGATAAGTGGGCTTTGGGTGCAGTGTGGCTGCTTGTGTCTATAGGCTTTGCCACCATTAGCTTGTGCCTTCAAAGATGCAGCTCCAGTCTGGGGACGTGGCTCAGTGGCACAGTGCCTGCCTGGCAAGTGCAAGGTTGTGAGTTTGATTCCTGGTACCAAAAAATATGTAGATAGATAGACAGACATAGATATATACACACCCTATTGTTTCACTGGGCTTTGAAAAAAAGGTTAAAAAATGTGCATTCTTTGTCCATAAAATTGACTCTCAAATCTTCTCTGCATGTTAACTCAAATAATATTTTTGATTATAGGAGAAACAGAAATGATAATAAGTAGTGGCCAAAATTCCACAGTGTGGGAACCAGTGATTCACAATGGCCTTCACAATTGAATTTCAGAGTATTTTAAGCTTTCAAAGCAGGTCATGTAATGCTCCCGAGTGTGTGCTCATCACCGTGACGTTAAAGGGGCAGACAGGAAATGTATTCTCACCTGCATGAAAGGCAAGGAGGTGAAGGCACAGTTAGACTGGGTTTAGTGGTGAGTGGCCAAGCATCGGTTGATAGATCCCCTTCAAATGTGGTTAGAGTCAAGCTTCGTGTTTTCTGGGGAGAGCTCAGAGACTCCATGTGTCGCTACTGAACAAAGAGAATAGCTGCACTCTGTGGAGAAGGAGAACTGTGAAGAGCCGTGCTGGGGAGGGCTGCATGAAGCCATGCTGTCCTGCTCACCTGCCCTCACCGTCTTTCAGGGGCTGGTGGTGATGTCCACGGACCTGGAGGAAGTCGTTAGCAGCATTCTGAACGTCAAAATTCCGGGAATGTGGATGGGGAAATCCTACCCAAGCCTCAAACCCCTGGGCAGCTACGTGAATGACTTCCTTTCAAGACTAAAATTCTTGCAGGTAATCTCACCCGCGGTAACTGGTGAGGTGGAGGAGGGTCAGGTTCCTGGGGTGCAGGTGGAGATCCTGCCTGAAACCTCCTTTAGGAGCAGGGGAGTCAGACTTCCCATAGCATCTGAAGGGAAGGAGACATGTGGCATACTGATTCTCAATTCAGTGTTTAACATTAACACAGACCAGCGTGGCAGAGTGTCCTGGAGGGCCAGCAGGCTACCAGCAAGGTGTTCCCAGCCGCCTTCTAGACAGGAAATCGCTGAACACGTTTTAGTCTGAGATGGAAGTGACCCATTGTGGGGAGTGTAGCATGGGCACAAGCCCGCCTCCTCTTCAGCTGGCGGTGTTGGTGCTTAGCTGTGTCCTTTGTAGCAGTAACCTCCGTTACTGGTCACTTAGTTCCCTAGATCTCCCATCATGGCATCAGAAGCAGGGAGAATTGCTACACAGGTAAAATGACTGACCTCCCCTTTCATGATACAGCCGTCTCTTGTAGGAGATGGAGACACCGAGGGGGTAAGATTGTTCTGGAAAGATGAGCCTCTGCCTTGGGCTTCTACAGGGGAACTTTTTCAAGTGCATGTCTTCTGGCTTCTCTAGTTTCCCCCTTGGTTAAATTATCACTTAACTAGCTCACGATTAGAATGCCTGTCAGGTAGGTAATGAAGAAGACACCTTGCTGAGTCAATGCTTAAGCTCTCACCGCCCTGCTTGTTTCAAAAGTTCTAGAATAGTGTAGTGTTTCCGTGTGTTGGATTTTATTGTGTTGTGAGGGAAAAACTTCCAGGATATTCTACTGGGTGCTAGTGATTAATTCGAGAGAGAGAAAAAAATTGAAAACAACTCCCCCACGACCAGCACCTGTGTGCATTTCTGCTCAGCTCTGCAACCTGACAGACTGTGCCGCAGTGCCCAGCAGGCAGGGGCTGAGGTTTGGAGATTCTTTTGAGGGACCACTGGGCGTGCATAAAGCAGACCTTTCCGTGTGCATTCAGGCATATGTGACCCCTAAACTGGTGTGAGCGTGAAAGCGTTCCTTAGTGTTTTTGCAAACCTCAAGAGCACGGCTTCTTGTTCCTTGAGCTTGTTCACTGGTTTCCTTGGGAGATGGCAGAAGGTTGGGGACATGGTTTCTCGGGCAGGGCTGCGGTCCATCCCTGACAGGCACTGACAGCCGCGCCCGTGTCCCATCACTGCAGCAGTGGTATGAGTCCGGGCCGCCCCCTGTCTTCTGGCTGTCCGGCTTCTTCTTCACTCAAGCCTTCCTGACCGGCGCGCAGCAGAACTATGCCAGGAAGCACACGATTCCCATCGACCTCCTGGGCTTTGACTACGAAGTGCTGGAGGACAAGGAGTACAAGCAGGGGCCCGAGGACGGTGAGTGCACGGCTCGGCTCTGGCTGCTGGGCCCGGGTGCCCAAAGGGCGGTCAGTGTGCTCGGTCCACTGGCCCGGGGAGGGGGGATCTTTACAGGGAGGGAAGGAACCAATGATAGAGCCAACGGGGAACAGAAATGGGACGACAGGTGAGTCTGGGGGGAAGAGTGTGTCTCTTGTAGTTTCTCAAAATTCTGTAAAGTTAGAAATTATTTCTAATAAGAAAGTATGAGAAAAGGGGGGAAACAGAAGTGCTTTTGTAAATAAGGAGAGGAGGGGAACGGGGAAAAAGCATCAGGTCATATCATGTAAAGGTACAAATTCTTAGTAATGAATGTGGTCATTATGTATCCCTAAAATGTACCAATAAACTTAATTAATAAAACAAGAAAGAAAGAATATGAGATTAATGGTGTGTGTGATGATCAACCACTGTGTGGCGTCAGCCATGGGGAACCGGTTGATGCAGGACTGGAGAGGAGGAGGCTTCTCCTGCAGAGGCCGGGGTGGGCTCTCTGTTCTGACACGCATCGTCCCAAATGCCCACCCAGTTACAAGCCTTTGTTTCATGTTGGCCAAGCCCATCTTGAGGAAATCTTTATTTCTTGCATTGATTATCTTTTCGGTCCTTTATGATTACCCAGAAGTCTTGCTTCAGACTGAGTGGACAGGACCACTGCTTTAAATAGTATTGATTTTTAAATGCTGTGGACTCTGAGGTTTTACCCAGAGGGTGCTGACTTGGAACAGTGTTGTGTCCAAATGTTAATGCAGGTCGCTTTCTCTGAAGACCGCTCTGCTTTCTAATGGACCGCTGAGCGTGAATCCCTTGAATCCCTTGCTCTTCTCCTAGGAAAGCAACAGGGGCAGCTTCAGGTCTTGTCCCTCAGCTAATTCGTGCTCCACCGGGGCTACTGACAGACAGATAAAGTCATCTCGATGGCGGGTGACGTGCGCATTAGTGTGCTGAAGTGGTTTTGCTTTACCTTGATTGCCACGGATCTCAGGGGGGTTTGTAATGGGAAGCAATCCTGCTGCTGCTCCCCTGGGAAACCTGTTTTCCCGCTCTCAGATGACCTCTGTTGCCCTCTTTGTCCTTGTCTGTACCCTCTTGCCTCTTCCTTCATTATGAAAACCACAAGCTAAAAGAAGCAGCAGATAGCACCAAGTCCACAAGCCCGCCAACGGCGGCACCCCGGGACTCCACTTCCCACGTCTTTCCTGATGTTTAGGGTTTTCCTTCTTGAATTGTGCCTCTTCTTTCTGGAACCAACAGTACCTGTCCCAGGACTGGGTGACCCCAGCCATGCACGGCACGGCACGGCACGGCACGGCATGCCTTACAGGGTCTCGCAGCTTAAACCCTGACACGCAGTTCCAGCCCTCTTGTCGTCGGGACTCTTCAGTGACTGCCCCATATGTCTGCTCCCCTTTGTAGCAAACTCTCACCCTGAAGAGCTGTCTTTACCTGCCGCCTCTGAGTGCTTGACGTCTGTTTGCTGTCTGCCTTTTTTCTGCTGGTCGCTGAGGATACTTTTCTGTGTCACTGATGGCTTCCCGGCTGACAAATCTCACTGATTTCCTCTGGTCTGCATCTTAACCTCGAAGTAATTTTCACCGGTGCCAACTTTGTCTGTGGATATGTTCTTCCCTCTAGAGTGTCAGCTTCTCTCTTTTTTCCATATTGCCCACACCCGAGCTGCACTCCCGTACTTACTGGAGTCTCAGTTCTGGGACTGGTTCTCTGTTCTAATTGCACCCTCTCTCCATGTGACCTCACCTTTTGGGGGTCCTTAAACATCTCGCTGATGTCCTCCATCTCCCAGGCCAGCCCTCTGCTCTGCAATCCACTGGGCTGTATGCAGCTGTCGGGCATCTCCTGAATATGTAAAACTTAGCAATTTCAGTCAGTGGCCCCACCCGCCAGCCTTCATTCTTCTGCTCCCTTCACATCAAACGTGCTGCCCCAAACCCTGCTGCCACAGCCATTTCCATCTGGCGTCCTCCAAGGGTGTCATGGCTGAATGACAATCCTTAGTCCGATACAGAAGCTACACAATCTTTTAAAGAATATATAAATAGGTCAGGTCAGCCCTTGGACTTCCATTGAAAAAAACCAGACAACTAAGTATCAGGGACCCGGCCGAGATCCCCACCTGCCTGTATGAGGGGTACGGAGAAGGATTAAGGGAGACACAGAGGCAAATTTAGTAACGCAGATGGGGGCTGCGAGGTCAGCGCCTCAGGACAGGCAGAGACCCAGATCCTCCAAACCAGCCGCTCTTTATGGGGAGTGTACAGTGCAGGGGGGAGAGCGGAGGGCTCAGAGGTCAGTGACACTGCAGGCACCAAATAACCCCGGGTGACTGAAGAGGTGGAAGATGACCTTATGCTAAGCAGGACCCTGCTGCAGGCTTCTTTTTCATCTCTGTGTCTCAGTGTGTTCTCAGTGGGCGGAAGAGGTCGGCCCATCCCAAGCGCTAACGGAAGGCTAAGAAGGGTGATCCTGTACCCCCAGACCCCCTCTGTCCCTCAGGGAAGGGTGCGGAACCAGCCATTGTGACTTCCTGGTGCCCAGTAACTAAGTAAGCTATCAGTGGCCTTTCCCCCTTTGCAGTCAGACACAGACCAGTAAGCCCTGACCAGTAAGTCAGGCACCTGCTGGCCATCCTCTCGTGGCACTCCGGATGTCCCCTCGCCATTCCCCACCACCATTGGCTCACACTGACCTCCTGCCGCTCCTAAGCCCAGACTCGTGTGGTGGACACTCTGCCCTTCCCGTGCCATCTTAAGGAATGCTAGGTCACCAGAAAAAGACCCGCGTGGACTTCCATCTGTTGAAGCCCTCCTCTCCCATTCACCTGTCTTGCTGCTCGGCTCTTAATTTCTGCAGTCATGTTACATTTCCTTCTTTAGTGCATTCAATGCGCGCACGGGAGGATTCTCTTTCTGTAAGCTTTCCCCACGTCACTGTTTTAAAAGGCAGAAGGCAGCGTTTGGTTGCAGTCTGGGCAGAACTCACAGTGGCTCTCAGTTATTAATTTTTAGACTCAGCTAAAAGATTGAATTTATAAAAGCACTGCATAGAGTCTATAAGCTAGTGATTACCCAAGATCAGAGTACTGGATTCCCCACCATTGTACGCTAAACTTAGACACTGTACCCGGAAGCTTTTATTTTATTTTACAATAGCCTGGAATAGTTCACATTCCTTTTTACAGTGCTTTACGGATTTAACGCATAGCTGCTTTCATTAAAGGAGGCATTAACATCCAGAAATACCCTGAAAACAGTGGAGTAAGACACGTAACACAGCTTATTTAATGACCAGCGAAGTCAGAGTGGTATTCCCATGCTGTCCTGCAAGGCGGAACCATCTGCTAGAGAAGCCACTGTGCTGGGTATCAGTGTGTTGGCCGCGGGCTGACAGATAATTGCTGGTAGATATTTGCTAAGTCATGAATTTTATTACTTTGTGCACACACAGACATTCTCACCCAGAAACCAGCTTATGTGTCTTTCCTTGCCATTTACATAATTATCAGAAAGCAGACTGCATGAAATGATTTGGAGAAATAGGGGATCCCTTTCTCGGGGGACACAGTTACCTGCCTGAGAAAGCCTGGGCTAGGAGCGCAGTGTCTGTCTTTCCGGCCTCTCCCCACACTGGTCTCTATCCTTCACACACACTGGAACATGTGTGTGCTTCTGGCTGCTAAGGTGCAGTTAAAACATGATTGCAAACAGTGTGGTAGAAGCACAGGGCCACGTGGGTTTCTGCAGGGCTCGGTGCTGGCTCTTCTGGACGCATTGCTGGCTCCGCCTGGGTGACTCGGTCATCAATCGAGAGCCCTGCAGGGGCTGAAGGGAGGCAGGAGACAGTGGCCGGGCAGAGCCTGGGGGACCCGTGGGAGTCAGCAGGCGGCAGAGGTGCATCTGTCCCTCTCGGGAAGGTCGCATCTCACGGGCCCCAAAGTCACTGTTGTTTCATGGATAACAGCTACTGGACAAATGCTTGGTTCATTAATAAAACCGAAATTTTACTCCAAATTTACTTTGTCAATTCAGACCCATCAGAGAGAAAGGGTGGGTTTTCCCAAACGTCCACTGTTCAGCTGCCCACTTAAGTGGCCACTCACAAGTGTCCCCAGGCCACAGGGGGATACTTGTGCTAATGGTGATCATGCTGCCCAGCACAGGGATGGGGACGGGACAGTACCATCTCACCGGAAGCACAGCTCTGACACTTCACCAGGGTCAGCTAACAGGTTCTCAAGCTACACGGAGCAGGTGTGGAGGGCCTGCAAAGTGTTTCCAAATTGTTCTCCAGTGGCAGAAGGTTCTGAGGTTCCGTGAGTTGGTCAGGGCCACACAGCAGGTGAGGAGTGAACACTTCCGGCTCTGTAAATTCTACACTGCTTCCTGTGAGGTCTACACCATTTCAGTGAGCATCTTTATGTGCAGATATTGTGTTCAACCCCCCAGGCTTCGCAGATGCATAGAGTCAGAGACAGTGGCCCTGTGTGATTGCTCCCCTAATGCACACTAATTTTTTATTTGTTTGTTTGTTTTGAGACAGGGTCTCGCTATGCAGTTCAGGCTGGTTTGAACTCACTTTGTAGCCCAGGCTGGCCTGGAACTCTGTGATCTTCCTGCCTCAGCCTCCCAGACACAGACGTGTACACCACACCCAGCCCGCTGCTCCTCTTTAACTGCTGGCATGTGGCATACATTCTGGAGAGCTCGCCTGTGCCACCCTGCATTACACAGACGCAGGAGCACTCCTAGCAGTGGGAATACAGTTGAAGAGGACAGGACACACTGACCTGCAGGACATCAGGTCTGCGGAGGAGTGTTTGCTTCCTATTGCCCAGCGGTCACTGGGGACCAATATTTACATTAAGAACTTCCTGATTTCACGGCTTCTGATACCACGATTATAATCATTGGTCAGCTAAGATAAATCTTGTAATGATTCATACCGTGGACCAGTTTAAAATTCCCTTCCTCTACTGTCTTCCACATGTAATTTTACCGTGACATCACTCTACAAAGCAAAGCATAGATGTCTTGAAATACAGATGTGGAAACACTGAGAGGCTGCTTTTGCTTCAGGACCAGCCGCAGACTCTTAGCGCCTGCCTAGGAGCCACCGGTAGGGACTTCAGATCTGCAGCGCAATCAGACTGCTCACTGAGATCGTTTTGTTAATGTTTTTATTTCTCATTTAGGTGTCTACATTCATGGATTGTTTCTGGATGGAGCTTCCTGGAACAGGAAGATCAAGAAACTCGCAGAATCCTATCCCAAGATCCTTTACGACACAGTGCCCGTGGTTAGTATCTTCTAGTGATGTCTACGTGATAGACACACACGTGTGTGAAATGTGTCCCATGTATGTATGTTCACGGCAAATCTGTTCTGTAAAGTTGCTGCCAACCTTGAGTTAGCCAGTACCGGACCAGTGCTCCTGGGGAAACAAGGGGGCTGAGTGTCCACGTCTCAGTTGATTGATATGCAGTCTATCTTGTTTCACTTCTGGGTTTTTGGGGGGACAAGGTCTTCTGGGGACAGGGTCCCCCTATGGAGTCCAAGCTGGCCTCAAACACACTATGTGGCTCAGGCTGACCTCTAACTTGAGGCCATCCTCCTGCCTCAGCCTCCCAAGTGCTGGGATTACAAGCATGTACCACCACGCCCAGCCTTCGCGTCTGTCTAAGGACACTGTTTAGTGTTGATTAATTAACCCAAGCTCACAGCCCTGTCGCTCCTCCCAGCAGTGCTGCTGTTCTCTCTCCATCCGGCCCCTCACAGCCCCCAGATCCCTAGGGTCACTTGAGCCCCTGTGCCACATATTTGGGGTCAGGGTGAACCCAGAACCAACGGTGATCCCACCGAGGCAGCCAGAGGACCGCGAGCAGGATGCTGGTTCCAGCTGGCTGTGATCGCATGCCTGGGATCGCAGTGGACAGCGTTGAGCTCTGCCCAGAGAGTGCTGGTGTCAGGTCAGGAAGCTCAGGCCAGCAAGGAAAATCTGCAGATACGGAATCCACACATGACCGTCTCTAGGGACATTGTGACTGTTGCTTAGGCGTAAGGCAGTGGTTAGCTTTATGCAGTTTGTGACAGGATCTAGGCTGTGCTGTTCTGGTTACAGCCCAAGGGTGAGAAATCTGCCGTATCCCAGGACCCTTAGAACAAGCACTGGAGCGGAAGGTCACCAGGGCAAATCAGTGTTTGTCACTTCAGAACCCGAGTCGTTTTGTTTGGTTTTTCTTTTACATTAAGACTTAAGTAGCTTGCTGTGAGTGGGAGATGTGTTTTATAATCAAGTAGTGACTCCTTTGAATAAAGTCAGCTAGTGAGAAATAAAAATTCTCATAAGAAAACATTCCCCTTGGTTTAAAATGAAACACATCCATGAGTGTTTTGAGAGTTCATCGAGTCTGATGTGGTAGCTAATATCTGCAGAAACTGTTTGGGGCCTCCCCTTCTGATAACCTGGAATCATCGTTATGTGGGGGAAACAGAGAAACTTGTGGCCTTTTTGGCTTCTTCATAAAAATTCTGTTTTAGCCGGGCATGGTGGCCCACATGCCTGTAATCACAGCACTCAGGAGGCTGAGGCAGGAGGATCTTTGTGAGTTCGAGACCAGCCAGGGATACAAAGTGACTCACAGCCAGCCTGAACTGCTTAGCCAGCCCCATCACCTGCAGGGTTAATTACTTAAGACAACCACTAGAAAAGATTGCTCCGGTTAAATTCCGTGACCACTTTTATGGTCGTAGTCGCTTCTCCATTCTTCTCTTCAGGACTGACTGGCTTAAGCCTGGCGAGTTCCACAATGGATTGCACACTTAGCACCCTAGCAGCTTGGCTAAGGACTCTGAAAGAATGCAATAAATAGCAGGAGGAAATTATGCTTTGTTTGTGGTTTTTACATTGGAAAATTGTGCTTGAGGCACAGTGTGGTACAGCTGACAGGGTACCACAGCCTTACTGTAAGGATCAGCACAGGCTGTGCAATCAGTCGGCTGCCCCGTGATACCTGCACACGTCAGGCACGGAGCACACCCATCCCCCCCCCCCCGTCCTCTCCTACGGGAGGGGAACGTGTGATGTCCTCTTGGGGTCTGGCTTGCTCCCCTAACGTGCTGATTCCCGATCTACCCGTTGTCCTGCAGACGCCTGGTTTCATCGTTCTGGGCGCTCCCTGTGGACATCGCAGCGCTGTCTCTATCCGTCCTCCCTTCCTTGCCGGCACCTTGGCCGACACTGCTGTGCCTCTCGCTGGGGTGACGTGGGGCCCCACCATGCAGTCCGCTGACTGTGATTCCTCCGGTTCTGTGCCTCGGGATTGTACAGCGGGACCCAGCCAGTCCCCTTTTTAGCTTTCCGAGGAGCCTCCACCCTGATGTCAGTGGCTGGACGGATTTATCTCCCTCTGGCGGGTGTAAAGGCTCCCCCCGCCCCACAGCGTTTGCTATTTTCTGTGTTCTTGATGACGGCCACCGGCCACCGTGTGGGGTGGCTTGCATTTCCCCGACGGCTGATGATGATGAGCACCTTTTAATGCACTTAGGGGCTTTTGTATTTCATCTTCTGCAACATGCCTTTTTGGTTCATTTGCCGGCGATTGATTGCGACACTTGTTCTTGGGCGTTTGTTTTTTAAATTATGTATTCTGGTCTGCATCCTCTGTCAGGAGTAGCTGGCGTTTCTCCCATCCTCTCTGTTTCGTGGGTTGTTTCCACTGCCGGGCAGACGTTTTTAATTTGACACGATCCCATTTCTCGATTCTTGCTGTTCTTCCCTAAGCCATTGGGGTCTCACTCTGGAATTCCCCCTCTGCTGGCATCTTGATGAATCCTCTGTGTCTTCTTCTCCATCTTCAGCTGACTTTTTACAGGGTGAGAGACAGGGATCCAGGGTGACTTCCGGGAAGACGGTGGGGCAGTAAGCAGCAGAGAAAACAGCTTCTCTGACAGCCTCCGTCCAGATGTGGGAATAGTCCATCTGGGGGAGACAGGAAGGAGGGAGGGTCCCTGGACCCAGGAAGAGTCCGAAGTCTGAATGGAAGCCCCCTGGGAGAGCAGAGAGAAAACTTCAATGAAGAAGAAGGCGGGAGCTGGCAGGGCCTTCACCCAGCACGGGGGGAGCTGCTGGAGCCTGGGGATGCGAGGTCACAGCGACAGTGGTGGCTGGCGACCCCAGGGCCTCTGCAGTACGACTTGGAGGAGGTGGAGGACTGTGCTGGCTGGGGGTGAGTGCTGAGACTCGGTGCTGCCTCGGGGAGCGATTGGCCAGGAGCCATTCTGCAGTCAAAGCCAGAACCAGAACTGGCCGGCTCCCTCCTCCAGCAGCTCCCAGCAGGGTGCAGATCTGGGGAAACTTTCTGAACTGCAGGAGCCCAGCAAAAGCACCGAATCAGGCCACACCTGGCTTTGCTTTACCCCACTGTGACCATTTTGAGTTCACTTTTGATGTCTTAAGAAATTTCTGATGTGCTATAAGGTTTGGGTTGTTTTGCATGTGGATTTCCAGTTGTTCTGGTATATTTATTGAGGATAAATCTTTTCTCCACTTAATTGCTTTTGCATCTTTGGCAGAAATCAATTGTCTGTTACATGGGTATCTATTTTGGGACTTCATATTGGTACGCTGGTGCTTTGCCTATCCTATCAATGCCGTTTTGTCCTGATTGGTGTAACTTTGTGATAAGTATGGGACGGGGGAGAGTTGGTGCTCTACTGTGCCTTTATCAAAGCTGTTTAGTCTATTCTCTCAGCCTTTTGTATTTCTCCAGAAATGTAAGAATCAAAATGTTAATCTTTCTGAAATGGTGTTGGCATTTTGATGAGGATTTCTAATCTTTATTATTTTCTCCTATTTGTTTTTGGTTTTATTTTGTCTTTTATTTCTAATTTCTTAAGGAAAGATATGAGGATATTTCATAACTTTCCTTTCTAATAAATGTACTTGGTCTTTAAAAAAATAAAATAGACAGATCTAGCTTCAGTCTTCTACAGGGGATATCCAGCTTTTCCAGCGCCCCGTTGGAGAGGCGGTCTTTCCTCCAGGGTGTGTGGGCAGCTGTGTTGAGAGGCAGGTGGCTGCCCTGTGTGGGTTTGTGTCTGGGTCTCTGCAGGCTGCTCTGCCGCAGCCCTGCGGTGTGTTTCACATCTGGTATTGTGTTATCTCCGCCTTTGCTTTCTGCTCGGGACTGCTTTGTTTGTTCAGAGTTGTTTCTGCTTCTCTGTGGATTTCAGGAATGTTTTCTCCACTCTTGTGAAGAACAGTACTGACATTCTGATGGTGTTTGCATTGAATCTGTAGCTCACTTTCAGAGTATGGCCGTATGAATAACTTCTAATCCAAGATCTTGGTGGGGGTCTTTCCAACTCTGAGTGTCCTCTTCAATTTTTTGAAAACTGTTTTGTAATTTTTGTTGGAGAGGCCTTTCACTTCCTTAAGTCTATTCCTAGGTATTTTGAATTATTTTGATGGCTATTGTGCATGGGGCTGCTTTTTCCAAGATTCCGTTCCTGGTGTATGGAGAAGCTGCTGACTTTTCACACTGGCTTTAGACCCTGCTACGGGAGTGGACTTTTCACGAGTCCCCGAGTCTGGGCTTGCACTGCTATTCTCTCGGCGTGTGTGCCTTCAACTCTGCCTAGTATTTTCTCTGCTTTTTACCGATGTGTCTGGAAAATTCTTTCCCTGGTGGGAACTGGCAAACCTGTTCCAGGGGTTGATGGGTTGAGGTCTTCATCTCCACCGTGGAGGACTCTTCTCAAACCCATCTGGTGATATCTTATGCTGAGCCATCAAGAGGTAAACCGAGGCACAAACTTTCTTTTAACTCTTCGCCCACTGATGGCATGGCATCTCTCTCTCCTGCAAACCTCTGCTCCTTCAGTATCCCAGAAGAGCAGGGGCACAGTGCAGGACAGGAAGGGGGAGCTGGGCTTGGTGCAGAGTGTAACCCAGCATGTGGGAGGCTGAGGCAGGAGGACTGCCTTAACTAAGCTAAAGGCCAACCTGGGATACATGATGAGCCACATCCGGAAGAGAGCTCTGCGGCCACTGAGGTGCTCGCTCCCCGAGATCACGGGGATGCTGCGTTGCTGCAGGGCCAAGGCTGCCTCTGCCAGGCTGTGCAGCTGTGGCAGCAGGCGCTGGGTGCTTCCTTTCTTCACTGTGGCACTGGCTCCAGCATCTGGATCTTAGAGAGTGGCTATTCCCCCGCCGAGTCCCAGCTCTGTCCCAGGCACTGACCTGGGGGTGCACTGCTGTGCACACCTGCTGCTCTGGTTCTCAGCAGCAGTGGGCAGGACCGACCAGGCACCTCTGCCCGGGCTCTGAGCAGGGGCCACACACAGCGTGCAGGGGTTCGTCTAGTTAGGCGCTGTTGAAGGAAATGTCTTCAGAGGTCCGAGGGATGCTGCTGGGAAGATAGGGTATCAGTAGTGATTCCCTCCCTTCATAGCCCATCTGGTTTTATTATAGTAAGCACCGAAAGTCTCCCACAGCGGAGTACGATGGAAAAGGGACGAATACTTTTGAGAGTAAGAACTCACTTTGGGGGTGCATGCATGTAATCCCAGTACTGGGAGCTGAGGCAGGAGGACTGCCATTGAGTTTGAGGCCAGCCTGGGCTACCTAGTGAATGCAAGGCCAGCTTCAACTTCTTACCAAGACCCTGTGTCAAAAACAAAACAACTCATTTTCCCCCCTCATTTTAATTTCTAGCCTGGCTCTGAAGTTAGTTATGACAGTTCTTTGAAAATGTTTCGTGAAGCCACGGCAGTGCTGACGAAACTGACACTGCCAGGGCACTGACAAAGCCAGCCTGACCTCCCGGGTGGTGTGCACACTCTCTTCCAGATGTGGCTGAAGCCCTGTAAGAGGGTGGACATACTCGAGCGGCCCAGCTACCTGGCGCCACTGTACAAGACCAGTGAACGGAGGGGAACGCTGTCCACCACGGGCCACTCCACCAACTTCGTGATTGCCATGACCCTGCCCTCCGACCACCCCAAGGAGCACTGGATTGGCCGGGGGGTGGCGCTACTGTGCCAGCTCAACGACTGACCTTGGGAGGCCATTGTGGGGCCCACTTCTTGTGAGATGGCGGAGTATTTGTTCAACCAAGTTTTCTGGCTTCAATAAATCTGAGTAACTGTGTTCTTCACTCCAAGTGCACCGTGTGTGAATGCAGCCCGTATTTATATGCACGACATGCTGATCTAGAAAACCTCACGAAGCAGTAAAGGGAACATGGCAGATCTGCTCTTTTGGAATAACTTTATTTTGGGAGAGTTCCATAGGCATTAGGAACATACATAAAATGACACACCACTGTTGACAATGAAAAAAACAGCATATGACCATTTCCAGCTTTATAAATTTTTAAAAAATGATTTCAGTTACAACGAAAAAGGTTTAGATATTTAGCAAGAATCACCTTGCAGGACCGTCATCACATTTAAGCCACTGACTCACTGTTAATGGAAATTCACACTGCACATAGTTCCTAAAGTACTCTAAGCATAATCACAGCTGATTGAATGCAATGTGATATACATCAAAATTCATATGGATGTCACACAGTGACAGCATTGTACAAGTAACATCAACACCTCCAACAACGCATGTTAAAAGTACACAGGTCAAGTTAATGGAATGTTGGAGCCCAACAGAAATGTAGTGGAATTAAGATTGTCTAGTAAGACTTGAAACTATACATTAGAAAAATGATGTGGAAACTAAACATGGGTGGAACCCTATAAAATACTAGCAGCAACTGTTACAGCCCTCTTATGAAGTTAAGAAAATCTAGCAAAGAAAGATAATACACTTCCGAGAGAATATAAAACTTTGTATACCTTAGCATAACCTATCTGCTTTAAATGAGGCATTTATTTTTAAGACTGGGAATATATTCCAGCTGTTGCTTTTAACTGAAGCGGGTCTGAAGCTGGAATGCAGAATCCTCCTTGGGTATAAAACCCAGAAATGAACTGAAGTATTTCCTGGTTCAGAAAGTAAGATCCCTTGAAGTTGGCAGTGCGAAATCAAATGTCAGCACCTTTTCGCTAGGTTGCTTGCAGGGCCAAGCGGTGAGATGAGGGCTGTCCCAATTCAGTGCCCAACGCTGAAAACAATCTCGTGGTTTAAAAAAATACTCCGACTTATTACAAAGAGGCCACAGAAAAGCAGGAGTGATTTCAGATTCAAGCATAAATTAAAGATGTAACGACACTTGGGTCCCCTCCTTGCCGGCCGGCCGGGAGAAACCCTGGCAATCAATTGCCTGTTCACACAGGGACATGCGCCGCTCTCGAGGTCTGGTTCTGTTTAAGAAGCAAAACTCCATAGAGGGAGAGGAAAGGGACGGGAGGGAGAGGACGCAGTGAGATGGAGCTGACCCTTTCAGGCCTGAGGGCCAGTCTGTGAAGAGCTCCACGGCAGCCAGGCAGTGCCAGGGCCACCCCCTGGCGGGGAGAGAGGCGTGGCACTGGTGCGAAGTGAGGCTGGGGTCCACGTGCAGACTGGCGCTACAGGTCTCCACGCCCAGTCCCGGGAAGCATCGCTCGCAAGTACAACCGGCTGGAGAACAGGCACGAGCCAGACGCCAGTCTCTGCCCTCAGGCACTGCAGCACTTCTTGGCACAGAGAGCCAGAGACTGCACTCAGCCTCCGGCCCTGCGATGGCCGCCCCGCCGGGACTGTCCCGTCACCGTGCAGTGACATTCCTGCGCGGGCACAGACGGACAGCAGCGTGGCTCACAGCCACTCACAGCACAGGCCAAACTGGCAATTGGAACATCTGGAACCTCAATTTCCCAACTGACCTCACTAGTATTGTCAAGTTGGAAAACTGAGGACTTTAGACTATGTTTGGGTTCATCTCTTTGATATGTCCTAGAAGGCTGTAATGTTTAAGGAAAAAACATTTGACATGCTCTGACACGCCCCACCTCCCCCATAAACCCCAAACCGAAACAAAATTATGGTTAAAGAAAAAACAGAAAAACACCCCAAACACCAAGTATTGTAATAGTACAAAGAACCATCATGAATCTGCCATTAAACCGAAGCTCACACAAACACACAATCACAGATTTCAGTAGTTTAGGCTGCAAGTTTAAACACTATGCAAATATATACAAAAATAGTAACTCTAGATTCAAGAATAAGGGTTTCCCCGCTGCTAAATTCATACCCTAGTGCAGCCTGAGCTCTCCGCCACTTCCTACTCTACCTGTGGTTCCCGCGCTGCGTCCAGTCGATCCCTGCCCCGGGCGTGGACACGAGCTGAGTAAAGGGCACTGCGTTTCACTCTCCGCACGCAGAGGTGTCTGCTCAGAGTTCATTTCCAATATTCTTAAGGTTTAAATGATTTTTTTGGTTCAATTTCTATTTCTGCATAGCCACAGAAGTTTCTACTAATAAGGAGACTACTTTAGTGTTTTATATGATTATTCTTTAAAAAGTCTGAAGCAAACATACATTGACCTCAGTTCTCAGAGTCCAGTTTCCTCCTCTGTCTCCAACGGTGAGGGCCCCCTTCTCGGGGACAAGCACTGAGCCCCGGTCTCGGGGCAGGCTCTCCCCATGGGCTCGCGAGCAGGGCACGCCAGTAGGGAGCAGGGCAGCCACCAGGCAGAGGGACACACGCGTCCTTGGGGCTCCCCAGTGAGGACTCAGAACTGGATGTCGAGCACGATCTTGTCCTCATAGAGTGCGATGATCAGCATGATGGCGAACCCGAACAGCAGCCCCAGGTTCTGCAGGATGAACTGCCCCACGGGACAGAAGCCATGCTCCTCATTGTCCCCGTCGCCGTGCAGCATTTCCGGGAGCTGGGGAGAGGAAGAGGCAGCTTTAGAAACAGCTGGGCATTTGTGAGGTTACAAAGCGCAGCCCCTCTCGGGTCCCTCCTGCCGAGTCCTGGAGAACCTTTTCTTCTGTGACCCTGGCTGCGCCCACCGGGCAGGCACAGCTGACCTGCAGCAGTGACTCAGCCAGCCCAGGTTCCCCCACCCTGTGACAATGTGAGGCAGCTTCCAGAGCGGCCACTGTCTGCCCCACTCCCTGACCCGCCTGGGCGCCCCACGGGACCTCGAAGGAAACAGTGTAGCCCTGCCGAGGTCTTACATCAGAGGGCTTTGAAGAAACAAAAATCTTCGGATAGCCGAGGTGCGCTTTATGAGGTAATGACATGGTCATTTCACTCTGATGGCACCCCAGAGACCCATGTCTGCTGCATGGCCTGTCACGATGAGGACACCACGTTTAACCCATTTCTGCTTCACCACATTTAGAAAATGTGTGATTTTGGTTGCCAATAAAAATCTTAGAAAATACACATATTGTGTCCTTTTCTCTCGAACACCTACGGATTTCAGTGTAACTGTGACACTGTAAAGACTGTCGCCTTGTTTGCCACTCGTGTGGTCAGCAGTCATGTTCGGTTCCCGGGAGCCGAGGAGCTGCCTGGGGGCCGTCAGTGAGCGTCACGGGCTCACTGCGCCCTCCACCCAGTGTGTTCCCAGGCCTCCCTCGGACGCCTACCACACAGTGTAGCCCAGCCCCACAGGCAGCCGCCTCTCTGCCTTGAACGCACAGCCACCCGTGAAACTCTGCTTCCAGAGACCCAGACCCCACAGCACTCCACGCGAGTTCCTGCACCCACGAGAGGCAGGAAGAGAGATCCATGGTCAGCAGTACTGCCAGGACAAGCAAAGGACGTGTACTAAGCTACGCTGTGGACCCAGAGGTAGCCCTGCCTGCCTGCTGAACAGCCGGGGAACCCAAAAGCCAGCCGTGATCTGCTGAACCAGGGCGGTGACAGCTGAAGGGAAGCTGAGTTAGCAGAGATGCCGGCCCAGGAAGGGACACGCAGGCTGCGGGGTACAGGGCTGGGGGGAGCGGGGCTCCTGGCTGAACACGGTGCATCCTCACACTGCGCACAGGGTGGGGTGGGGGGGTGTCCCAGAAGCACGGGGCCAGAGGATGCTGCGGGGAGAGGAGAGGTCCGGGAAGAGGAGCGGGCTGCCCACACCTGGCTGAACATAAAATAGAGTTACTGCTTTTACTTGAAGTTTCACGACTTTTGAGAACAGGCATTAAATCTGCGGTAAGATCGTAGCAGAGTGACCGTGAAACGAGACTATGAGGCAGTCTGCTCGAGACAGAGGGCGCCTGTGACGGCCCTGCACCGCACTGCCAGCTCTGTGGAGAGTGTCTCTCTGGAGTCCTGCAGCCAATTGAGAGAAGCTGGCCAGCGGCGTCCAGCTTCACTGGCTCTGGGCGAAGTCACAGACTGTCTGGGAACACACACAATGCCCAAAGGGACCAGCTTACCACACAGGGTCACTCTTCCCCACGCGCTAAGCTCAAAGACAGAGTCTGCTCAGCAGCGAAAGAACACTTCTGTCCCAACACCACAGGTAACTATTCTGTGCCCACGTGTGACACTGCAGCCATGCTAAACAGTGACACAACATGATCAGAGATTCTCAGCATCCCACTGTCTCCCACAGGGAGCTCCCCTGTGTGCTTTGCCCTACGAGGACACAGCATCCATGCGCTCTAAGCACCACGTGGCTCCAGGTCTCTCCCGGACACCGTCCGCCTGAGAACCACGCTCTAGTTGCAGGTTTAGGGTAGAAGAAACCGCGAGCCCCTTACCATGTCCACCAGTGCCACGTAGAGGAACATGCCCGCCGTGATGGCGAAGATCCAGAGCGTGATGTTGTTGGCGTACTGGCCGACGGCCGTGCCGATCAGCATGCCCACGTACGCCATCATGGCAGAGAGCAGGTTGTACACGATGGCCTGCTTCACAGTCATGCCAGCCTTCAGCAGGACGGCAAAATCACCTGCAGCCACGACACGGGGACAGTCAGAACGCTGACATGAACGGGGAGACTGGTGAATATGTGACATTAGGGGGATACCTCTTCATAACGGGGCTGCTGAGGGGACAGAACTGCCCTGTGCCCACAGCTGTCAAACCAAAGAACTGCATGCACGGAAAGGTGGTTCACGGCAGGAGGACTTACAATGTACTTTTAGGACAAAAATACAAAAGGTGTCACCTGCTAAGAGCCAGGTGCGCTCTGCTCTTCCTTCTCTTCCTTCAGAGAGAAAGGGCTGGGAAGGCAGAGCGCGCTCTCCCGTGCTTCCTCTCCCTTTCCCTCCAGAGCAGCATCCACCTGAATCCTGAAACCCCTCCGGGGGCGGCACTGAGCGGCCCTGCAGACGCACAGGCTCTCGAGCTGCCCAGGCTCCAGGCCCCCCGTGCCGAGGTCCCCCTCTCCCCGGACAGAGCAGCCAGGTAGGCGTGTGGGAGACGCCGCAGAGGAAAAGCCCCCGGGACTCCTCCTTCCTCCGGCCTGCAGCTGCAACACGGGGTAAAATGATTAACTACTGCTCGGAGACACCCAGGAGGGCCAAGCGCTGTCACAGGCGACATGCTCAGCCTCGGAGTGCAGGGCGACAGGCTGCCTCACAGCTTCCTCAGTCCCCAGCGCACCTGCGCCCAGTCACCTGGACACGTCACACGGGAGGGCTGGCCCGCAGCCTGGCTTCTTTTCAGAATGTTAACATTTACAGATCTAAAAATACAGTCCCCACTTCTGCAGTTCTTCAGGCTACAGAGCCCTGGTCTCCAACAGATAAGCAGACACTGTCCAGTCACACGAGGCACTGGCTCTGTGTCCAACAAACCGCTACCAACTACCGGTGCCGTCACCTCGGACACTCGGATGCCGCGCCAGGGAGCGCAGTGCAGCTCGGCCTGGCGGCTCCCATCCACCGAGCTCCAGCTCAGCCCCAATGCTGCCACTCACACTTCCCTCGCTGCACCCTAGACACCTTCATTCGCTTGCGGAGACCTGGCTTGGGGTCAGCTTGCACCCCTCCCCGCCCAGAGCTGGTTAACAGCTGCCAGTGAAGACGGCTTCCCTGTGCACCCAGCAACTGCTGCGGGGACACCTTTGTCAGCTCGGCCTTGGGTAGTACGGTGGGACAGCCTTCGGGCCACGTGGCTGGAGGGCGCCTGACGTGGTCCCCAGGGCGCAGCACCGTGGCGGGACACACGCGGCAAGCTGTGCTGGTCCCGACCCAGATGGCATAGTGATCGGCTCACCACCGAGGAGGGCCGAATGGCACCAGTAACCAAGCCTCCGGATGAACTGTGTCTACTAAAACTGAAATACGGCATAACTTGCAGTTTTTCCTGGCTTGTGTCTTTTGATGTAGAGATTATAAATTTTAACAAACACATACGGTGTATTCTTAACCGCCCCAAACTTGTAAACTGTTTGCTATCTTCCAAAATTCCCTCAGGCACCACCGCTAAAGAATCTCGGTGTGCTTTGTGACCCCACAGCCTTGTCCCAAAACATCACACGAATGGAACCATCCAATACGTACGAGTTTGGCCTTTTCCACTTAGCGTACTCCATGTAGGAGTCACCAAGTTACTGTGTATCTAGCAGATCACTTCCTATTGCTAACGACAGTCCCTGCGCACAGAGCACACCACCCCTGCTCCCAGCTTTTGGTGACTATGACGCAAGCCCCTGTACCCACGCAGAAAGCCGTCCGGGCCACACCTGACGCTTCATTCCTGGAGTCCACAGACAGGCGGGGGAGATCTGTGGGCCACACCGTGGCCTCCTCGTGAGGAACGCGTGACAGTTCTACTGCCTCCCAGCCGCTGCCCCCTGCCAGTCCCCCAGCTGAGAGCTCAGCTGCCCGCCACAGCCTTCCTTCCTCAGGGAAGCTTCTACTCGGATCTGCCCACTGTTGTGCTGGGCTGTTTTCCTGCTACTAAAGAAAGAGGTCTTTGCATGGTCTGGTCCTTAAGCCTTCTGTCAGATTTGTAATTCTCAAATCATCTTTAAGAGTCTAGAGCTCACCTTTTTATTCTTTAACACTGTTTTAAGTTTTTAATTCCACTTTATAATCTGTCTTACTCTTGTGCTTAATGGTTCCACTGTAAAAAGCGCTGTGTCTGAGAATAGTCTGAAACAAAGCCACAAGGAAGCTTGTGTTTTCCTGTAAAAGTTTCGTACCTGTAAATTCTCCATTCAGAGTGATCTATTTTAAATTCCCTTTTGTCCACGGTGTGAGGTGTGGGGAAAAGCCAAGCTTTTTTACCTTCTGTCTTTGGACATCTAACTGTTAGACATCATTTTAACTGACCTGTGAGTTTATTCTTTTAACACCACCAACTGCTTTTATTATCCTGGCTTTACAGGCCCTGATATCAACTTTGTTTTTCTTTTTCAAAATGCCTAGCTATTCAAGTTCCTTTCCCTTTCCATAAGGGAAGGCACTAAATAAATCTGCAGGAAGCATTAACACTTTAAACGGCAGCGAGGCTTCTGGTTGTGCATCTGATGTGTGCGTCTCTTCCTAAACCCTCCTCTGAGTTCTTTGGTTGGTGATCCGGGGGTTTCAGCGTACATTATGCATATTGGTTAAAGTAAGTTAAATAGCTCATGGTTTTATTGTGCCATTATACAGTCATTTTTAAAAATTTAATTTCCAATTATAGACTGCTGGTAGTATAAATGTTTTTGTACAATAACCTGATAAAGTGATTGATCAAGTCAGTCACTTCATTTGAAATTTATTTTGTCTTAGTCTTGCTTTAGGTTATAAATTCCCAAAGACTTCTGCGTGTTTTCTCCTTTCTCCAAATCTCTTCTCCGTAAGAACTTATAAACATCTTAAAATTAAATCAAAGGACTTCCCCATAAATGGGCTCCTCATCATTTGATAAACCAGCATTTTGCTTCCTGGTGTCAAAGGGCTTCGCGAGCACAAGCAATGAGGTGTGCCTGCTAAGGTGTAAAATTAATGTGACCCAGTGGACACTTCCATGAACATCTGCTAATGCCCATTACTGAAATCTTCAGAACAAAAAGACTACATGACGGGCCTGGTAGTATGTTACCGCAATTCCTGTACTCTGGGAAACTGAGGCAGGAAGAGTCCAAGTTTAAACCCAGCCTGAGCAATTTAACAAAGGCCTGTCTCAAAATAAAACAATAAAATGAGTAGGAAACCCCGGGTTCCATCCCCAGAATGGGGTGTGGGGCAGATTTCAAGGGTCTTCAGTCCTGTCTTAAATGCTTACATACATATTAAGCCAAACTATACCGTGAATGCTCAGACCTCCCTGGACAATTTAGCATATTACAAGAATTTGATCTTAAATTTTAATTTAACCCTTAGTACACATAAGAAGAAAGAATATCACATAGCTATAGGGTCTCCGAGCTGAATCCTAACAGAAAAAAATGCCCCCTTGACCAGCATATTTTAGTTTGCTGGTTGCCCAGGTAATAGTCCAGTTCCAGTTTTTGTTATTTTTGTTACTTTGGAACTGCTGGTTACTGTGACGCACAGCTACTAATGTGATACACACTGCGAGAACCAATCAGAGACATCCAAGTGCTCTGCCTCTGGACTTCCCCTCGCAGATCCCATGAAACCCTCCCTCCCTGAGTCTTCAGGGCATGGTATTTTAGGGGTGCCCACTAGTGTAAAATGAATCTGCCTCCACACCCTGGCAGTATCTTGGTGTTCCTACTTGTCATAGCATCTAGTGCTCTGGCAGGAACACTGACTGTGCTGGTCTCTTTGGTCACCAGTCACCGCCTATGCAGGCGACAAACCAGGGACCTTCTAGGTCCTGACAGGAAGACACATCCTTGAGGCTTCTCGAGTCCCCTAAGAAGCCTGCAGGAGGATTCCCACCTCCCTGCGTGAGAAACTCACACCAGACCCCATGGATGGAGAACGAAGTCTGCCTGCCTGCCTGCCTGGTTCTGGCAGCATCCCGGGGGCACCCAGGTCGTCAGTCCTGCTCAACTCGAGGTCAGGACCTCTCTGAGGGAAGGAGGCTGGCACGTCTAACCTGAGCGCCTGCTGAATCAGGGGCGTTGGGGTGGACTTCATACTCGCCATCAGTCATGTTATGTTGCACTATTTTGGAAAGCTGGGGCGCATTTACAAGTGGTAAGTCCTCAGACGTGGTGAAACCTGGTAGAATTACCTAGTTCGTGGGGCAGCTCGTGACAGAAGACGGCTATGGAAGTGCTGATTCCTCCCGTCAGCCCAGCGCTGAAAGCCGCTCCTGAGGAGAACCGGAGACAGGAAGAGTGGCGTTAAGCCAGCCTCCAGGTTTCTCATGCTCATCACACTCACCTCACACCGAGGGCAGACTCCCGTCCCACAGACCACCGTTTTTGAACACGCAGGTCACACAATCTCACTAGAATCCTCCTTCAGCATCATCATCTCCTGGGAACAAGGTCTCTATGTTTGTGACACAAAATCAAACCTGACTGCTTCTGAGTTGAGATTCTAGGTCTTAAAGAAAACCGAGCACTGATCACATGACTCCACACTGGTAACAGGGGGTCAGTTTACCAAGATGCTAGTGTATCTGAATTTGTTACAATAAATTTTTAATGCTGGAAAAATTTTTTATCTCTTTTTAAAAGATGTGAAAAATTTATTAAACCTAAGATTGAAATTCAACTGTTCTCTTTCAGAGATATATAAAAGTATGTGAAAATATAATGCTCAGGAAGCTTTTTCAGTAAGGCGATGACTATGGTTTTGATGAGAGGCCACGTTACTTAAGCCGTATACTATAAACATGTTTACAGTTCCCCCAAACCCCAAATACTGCCAGGTGTGGGGAGCACGCCTGCAGTTCCAGTGCTCAGGAGGCTGAGGCAGGACCACTGGAAGTTTGATGCCAGCCTGAGCTACACAGTGAGACCTGTCTCAAAAACACAAAATAGTATTAAAAAAACAAAACAAAACAAAACTCAAATACGTTTTCACTTCCAAATATACCTATCAAATAGAAAACCACACTCCAGAAACCCAAACGACAGGAGCCAAGCAGCAGCGCGTGTGCGGAGCTCTGGACAGAACCCGCGCCTGAGGTCAGCACAGCCCGCGAGCCCGAGCCGCCGCGCACTGGCCCCACGCACCGATGGCGAGCCCATCGCTGAAGTTGTGGATGCCGTCCCCCATGATGACCATCCAGGCGATGCTGGCGATGCCCGTGTCCTTGAGGTCGGAACCCGAGTGGCAGGGCCCGTGCGAGTGGTGGGAGTGCTTGTGGTGCCAGGGGTGCCCGTGCTTCCGCGGCGTGGCCTTGGCCCCGCCGTGGTGGTTGTGCACGGCCACGTGGAGGGCGTGCAGCCCGTCGCCGTGGGGGTGGTCCGCGCTCTTCTCCTCCTCCAGGCACAGGTAGGTCTTGGGAGGGGAGTCCTGCTGGCCCTCCAAGTCTGTCAGTTCTGTTTCGTTGAGGCGATCTTCGGAAACAACCGAGTCGTCGGTCCCTGGGTGGGAGAAGGGGCAGGCTTTCTCAGCACTGACATGCACACTGCTGCTGCAACCCCGGCAGACGCCAGCGCACCCGAACATCCCTAGGTGACCGTCTTACGAAAGTCTTCAATAAACCTGTTTCCCTAAATGCATTTAGAAGCTATTCCAATAGAAAAAGGTTTTCTGAAATTCATCAACTAAAGACAGATGAAACCGTTTTTCAGAGAAAGGGGGACTGGTAGTGTTGATCCACTCTAACCGTCTCTCATTTAAGAAAATGAAGACAAAGACAATTTAAATAACTTGCCTATGTTTACCAACAGCTGACCACCAAGTCCTCTAGAGTCTCCACTTGTACTCCTGATAACACCACTCAGAGGTCAGGAGCCCAGAGCTCATGCAGAAGGTGACATCTGATAAGCAGTGTGGAAAGCCGAGGGTAGCCCCTAAAGTGATCTGTGTTACCATGGCCTGACCTTCTCAACTGCGTCCCAGGGCAGAGTTCTACAGACTAGGCTGCCCTTCTGTGCGGGCATCTGCTACATTGGAAGAACAATCTCAGATGGAAAGTGAGGGAAATGACACTGAAAACATGTCTGTTTCCCTGAAAACTCTAAGGCTCCTCGTGCATTCTACCCGGCACCAGAATGTGTGGGTGCTTATGCAGAGAGCGTAAGTGCAGGCCAGGGACACCTCTCTCAGGTACAAAGCAAGCTTCCTTAGGGTGCTGACCCATACGGCAGGAGCGGGCAGTAGATAAACAAGACCTTGGTCTACTTTTGTCTTTTTCCTTTTTATCGGTACCAGGGATGGAACTCACGACTGCCTGCTTGCAAGGCAGGCGCTTAAGCCACTGAGCTAAATCTCCAGCCCCAACCTTGGTCTACTTCTTAGAAGGCATGTTTGTCTTCCTCCTATTTTTTCCTATAAACTATAACTACAAAGCATTTCTTACCCCATGATCTATTTGGCCCCACTCTTGCGCATAAATAAAGCTGAATCTAACTAAAATCAATAAAATCAAAATGAAGACACACACTTAAGGAAAAGCATATTAGAAACTAGTATTAGGGAAGTCACAAAGGCAAGAAACCCTAAACAACCCAGTTTAGAAGCAACATTTCAGCATCTGAATTAAAAGGCTGAACTGCTGAGTACCGGCAAGAGGCTTGAGCTGGAGCCAGTCCGCGTCCGGCGTGTTGTTTAACTTATGATCAGAGAGCTTTCTGCCGATAGTCGACTCTTCCGTGCTCTGCTTGATGAACCACTTCTGCTTCCCCTGCAAGACGAAAAACCAATTATCAGCATAAAATCTGTAGCCACAACCAGCAATAAACCCCTTGTTCACACTTCTAAGTGAGAAACTATACATAAAGCTGTTTTTACAAGATAGTAAGAAAAAATCTTTGGGAATCAATCACAGGCTCAAACTACATGAATATTTTACACTAAACCGTACACTTTTTAAACACTGAACTAAGAGATTCTCCTGGTCTACTTCAAAGCTGAGTGCGCACAGTACTAACCCAAATGAAACTGGGAGATGGATGTAATACCTGTTGTTAAATAATGTAATGTAACAAAGTTTCACAAATTAAAGCCCATTCCCTTTAATTTTATTCTTTTCACTGTCATCTCAGTCTCTATACGTGAGGCTTCGGAAAGTTTGTTGAACTTATTGAATATAGTAATATTTAGTGATACAATGAAGTAAGATTGCTAGAATGACCAAATCAGGGAATATATGAAAACCTACTGCAGTAACTGACTAGCTCTGCAAAACGCAGACGACTTGCCTGCTCACCATTCTGTCATCAGACACTACCACAATCTGTCCTCTGTTACCCACAATTCTGCTGCTGTATCTCCGCAAATTAAATCCCTAACTTAAAGCTACTCGCCCTCTGCTGCTTGTAGTGCTTGAACATCCGGATGCAGTGCTCGATGATGAACAGGACGTAGATGCCCCCGAGAGCAACCAGCCCCTTCAGCACGGCGTCGTACTCCTCCACAAAGCTCTCGGCCGGGTGCGCGTGTGAGTGGCCGTGCCCGTGCCCGTGTGCATGGTGGTGGCCGTGATCCTGTCCACCCTGCGACTGTTACAACAACGAAGAATAATTCTGAGATTATAATCTTCTAGAAAACACAGAAAAACAACTTTTAGTGTTTATCTTGTTTTTAAATTTTACTTGTCTACTTTTTAAACTGACACATGAAACTGTATACATAGATCAGGTACCGTGTGATATTTCTTTTCTTTTCTTTTCTTTTTTTTTTTTTTATCGGTACCAGGGATTGAACTTATGACTGCATGTTTGCAAGGCAGGTGCTTCTGCCGCTGAGCTAAACCCCCAGCCCGTGATATTTCAATGTATGTGCACCTCAGAAGACCATGTTCAAATCCAGGCCGACATACCTCCCTTCACATTTCTCATTTCCGGAAACATCTGAAACTCTCCCTTCCAGCCTCTCACAAACTGAACGGTAATTACGCGTCTCTGCACCACCCTGCTGTGCAGCAGCCCCTGGAATGCTCTCTCCGACCCCCTCAACCCAAGACCTACGCACCCACTGTCACTCTGCCCTCCAGGTAAACACTGTTCAACTCTCAACTTGTACAAGAGCAACTGTGTTAGATTCCACAGGAGTGGGATCATATGTGAGTAATTTTAAATTCTCCAACTGCACTCTGCATAACTACCACATAAAGGAACCAGTCTTCCCTTTCATTCGCTCAGTCATCTGTGAAGCGTACTACATTTCTTGGTCAAACAGAGACTGCAAACTCAAATGCCTCTACCACTGTAATGTTACTGTAATGAAAGCTTCAAGTCAGAAGGAACAACTGGGAGTATGGGTCCTTTGCAAATTGAAGCAAACATGACCACTAACAGTAAAAATAAAGGGAAGCCCACCAGCTCATTCACCAGGTCACTGCTGTGACCCCGGCTATACCCATTATCACTACAGCAACTCACACATTTTTCTCAAGGCTTTCTTGATATATCACACAGATACAGATCACCACTGCTGCATTTAAAAATCTAATGATTCAACTTATTTTAAAAATGCTATTAAAACTATGAAAAGGAAGAAAGCCAAACTTCATCGTATTTGCAAATAAAACAGAAATACTACTACATAATAATGTCACTGCTTGCTACTGACGGAAAATTCATCTCTTCATCAGGATAACTTAAAATTTTCAAAAACAAGGAGAAGGAGATGATATTAACTGACCTACCAAATGCTTACTTACGTTAAGTTGTGTAAAAACTGAAAACGTCTCTTACGTGGGGCAGCAGATGAAGGAGGGCGTCCCCACTCATGGTTCCGACAGCCAGCGCCACGAGGAATGTGAGGAGGAATTTGAAGCAGCCTTGGTTAATGATGGGAACCAAGATCACACCCAGCAAGGAGAGGAGGCTAATGACAGTGATGGAGATGATGCCACAAATCCACGCTGCAGGAGGACAAACGAGGAGTGAGCATTAGGGCGACTGCCAAGTTCCAAAGAAGAGCAAACACAAGGCCCATGAGCCACAGAACAGTCATCGTCCCCAGGCTACGCTCAAAGTTTTTTAAAATTAAAAAAGAAGAGAAGAAGTTGTTTTACAGCACAATTGTGCTTAAAAACAAAAACATGAAATATAGCCAACTTGAATACTTAGAAAAAGAATTATGAAACTCAGATTGTTATAAATAGTATCTTCAATGGACCGCAACTTCAGAAAGTAATTCAAATGAAAAAAAGGTGTCACTCACTCTTAATATTTAGGATAATTAAATTAAATATCTAAATAAAATTTCCTACTGTCTACAGTCAGGGCTATAAGCACTAAAACCATTTGAAGACCACAAAACTCTCCTGTATGCATTAAATGAAGCCAAGTGTCTAATGTATCGTAATTTTAAAAACCATCTTTCTAGTACAAAGCCTAAAAAACTGAAAAGTATATTCACATGAAAAAGCAACAAAAGTCTTCCTGGGGTAGCTTTACTGCCGAAAGGACAATTCCGAGCTCAGTCAATTCTGGATTTCTCTTCTCCACACCTTTTCTTGTTTCACTTTTTGCACGATTTCTCACTTTTTAAAAGACCCCAGTACAAAATTCACTGCGAATACAAAAGAAATCACCACAGCAGCCCTGAAACACAGTGGTGCTACCTGGAACGGGGACTTGACACAGAGCTCTTCATCCAGGCCACTCTTAAAGCACTTGAGCTTCCAGAAGCGAAGGCCAGTGTGCTGAACCCTGGTGTTTTTACCACCATGCCTCCTAGCACCTAAACTAAAAACCAACCAAACAACAACAAAAAACAAGCATTTTTTTAAAAAAATCTGCTTTATAATCCAAGAAAATTTCACTGGAACTTTTTAAAGTTTTAATCTAAAACATTATTTTTCTAATTAAATCTAACAGGATTATAAATCTGCTCCAAGATTTTGTATCTTAGGACAAGTGAACAAAGGAAAACTCATTCCGTCATCAGGATAATTTAAAATTTTCAAAAACAAGGAGAAATACATTAGCAGGGAGATGACACTAACTCACCAAATGTTGAACGTTATGATAAAAACGTGTATCCATTAGGCACTGCATTAAGACACAGCAGCCAACACTGGCTGCCGCACCACTAAAGAAGCGGCCCCATGGGGGTTATTCATCACTAGAGAAGTTCTGCAGGGTACCCTGCCCTGAACACATAATGGCTGTCAGACGAAAACAGGAACCCGGGGACAAAAGAAGATGTAAACGCACAACCATATGAGAAGGATGAGGGTCCTGCTACTGCCATGGGTAGACTTGGGTTCTGTCACTTCAATACTTGCAAAACTTTTGAGGAAAGAAAAGAGCAGGAATGCAATTTCCAAGGAACCCAGGTCACAGAAACACCGTTACAAAGGTAATACTGTCATCGTGGAGCAAATGACAGGAGGAGATTCCATCAACTAATGTTGACAACTGCACATAAGAAATTATCCCAGGAGAAAAAAAAACCAATCAGGTGAGGTGGCCACATTTGAGACACGAGGTTCTGGAGCTGGTCGAGTTACCATCCCCACAAACCAACAGCAGCAGCTTCCTGACTCCCTAACATCAGCAGGGGGAGGTGGGGTAAACGGGTACCCCTAAAAGGAGCACTCAGAGGTGAGCAGCCTCACTCTAGAGTCTGATACGCCTCTCCACAGTGCTGTGCACCCCTCCCTTTCTAGGCAGGCACTGCCCTCAGTGTGGCAGTAATCCAGCCAAGAGGCAACGTGCCTCAAAGCAACAGCCTCAAAGCAACGTCAGCGAAGAATCTAAGGAAGCATGTACTGAATCACTCGGGAAAGCCAATAATTCATATTCCCAGATACTCTGAGAGAACAAGTAACTACCCAAACCTTAGGTATACTACGTATGTAAGCAGGCGTGGTAACTCTATTATAAATTTTATTAATCTGAGTTATTTTAACCAAATATACACTGGAACTACTCACCAAAATTATTCAATAAAATTACTGATTTTATTTCTATAAATCAATGTCCCAGAAAACTCAGTCAACTTAAAATACTAAATTAAAAACTATTTCAAAAAATCTAGTTGAATAAACCTTGTTGTTATTCTGATTGTTTTATTAGGGTCATGTTACATTCTGCACTGGGAAATACACATGCATATATTTCTGGACTTTCCTATTAAGACATCTGCAACAAATTAAATTTCTAAATCTTAATATACTGTAGAGTAAATACCATTCATTAACTTGTTGTATTACACATTTGAGAAGATGAACAATTTATACAACACAATTCAGTAAGCTAAGAAAATATTGGCTAGAGGCATGTTTAAAATTTTGGGTTTATACATTTTACAATTTCAGACCACGCTGAAGCAGCACATCAAGCCGGTCATGTGGCCCAGGGTAGAGCACTTGCTTATGCAGAGACAGACAACTTCACAGTCACAATTTACATACATTTAGGTGACCAAGGTACAAATATGTTTGCACAGTTATAAAACTTTAAAAAGCTGAGGGGAAAATGCATTGCCTAATTGTCAAATGGCCCAGCATCTCTATTTTCCAAGTCTTGTAAGAAGAGATGGTAAGAGGGACAGCAAGAATATCAGAAGAAATCATGGACCAAGACCTGCCACGTTTAATGAATGACAAAAACATAAACTCACCCAAGCTAAATGAACCTCAAGTAAGATGAAAGCAGAGATCTATGCCAAAACAGAATATAATCAAACTCCTGAAAGCCAAAGAGAGACTCTCTAAAGTTTCAACAGGGCCAGGGATCTACCTCAGCGGTACAAGCACCTGCCTGGCAAGTGCAAGGTCCTGAGTTCCACTTCCAGTACAATAAAAAGTTTTAACAGAAACAACTCATCACATATTAGGAATCTTCAATAAAATTATCAGCAAATTTCTTACATCAGTAAGAAACTAATAACGCACTTTTAAAAATCATTAGTTCATGTTTAGGGGCACAGAACAAATAAGCATACAATTCTGTGACATCAGCATTTGAAAGAGGTGAGGATAGAGCTCCCAGGGACTCTGGTGTGTTACCCCAGTCAGACCTGTGTAAATAAAACTCTGCAGCACCTGCAGGGGGTTAAATGTAATGACCATGGTAACTCAGAGAAAAGCATAAGGTACACACAAAAGTAAGAGAGGAACTTAACATTTCTCTACCAGAAAAATCAGCTAAACACAGTAAAAGACAGTAATTCAAGACATGAGGGATAAAATAAAAAGGCCCCAACATACACTGAAACAACAAAACGACAAAGAGTCTTTCTTATTTCTTTAACTGTAAATGTGTTAAACTCTCCAATCAAGTGACAGGGACTGGCAAAAAGGACTAAAAAAAAAAAAATTATGTCAACCATATACTGTCTACAAGAGACTGGTTTCACATTAAAGACACAAACAAGCTGAAAGGGAAACATGAAAAAAGAGAAGTTTTTACCAAAGAAAAGGTTGAAACAATTATGCAAATGCCTACCTATATGATACATGTACTGTACCATGATACTAAAAAGATGAACAGCAAAGTCAAAGCTGGCCCTGAGGCCGGAGGGAGCGGGGCCCATCGGGAGCGGGGCCCACCGGCAGAGCCCAGCAGGCATGAGGCCCTGGGTTCCAGGCCGGGCACCGAATTAAAACACAAAACAAACCAAAGCTAACCCCCGGGGCCTCCAACTTTTAAACCATATTTCCTCCATGAAATCATCACATATTTTCAGACAATTCTTGGCCACATGCTTTATTTAATCACTCATATATTTACCTCACTAAGGTGGTTTTACAGAAACGAAGACCTATAAGAAAAATTAAATAAAATTACATATGAAAGTTAACAAGGAATACTAAACAGTAAGCTTTCAAAAGCAGACCTAGCTAGAGGCTGAGACAAGAGTACCACAAAACAAACTTGTGACTACATCAAAGTATCAGAATACACTTGTTTCCCATTTAACATGAATTCTCAATATTCCTGTCTGTCCTAAAGGAGTAAGAAAATCAATCGGAAAACGTCCAGGTTATTTTCTATAGATTACAATTCATGATAGCTGCTTTGTTAGCAACACAGCTCTGCCATCCCCTGTACACATACAAACCTGTTTTCTTATTCCCAATCATTCACTTTCAGTGTTTTGAAAAACCAGCTCTAGCACAAATATGCTCAATTTTTCTAAGAATCGGTAATCTTCATAAAGGAAAACAATCCTTTTAAACTGTCAGAAATGTGAAGCTGTTTTGAATTTATCACACAAAATTATTTATGCTACTTGCTTATTTTTAGAACGTAAAACATTTAAATTTAAACTCATAGAAACTCTATCTGAATTTCCTAGTTTCCAAGGCACAGGAAAGAAAGCATTGCAGCTAATAAAAAAAAAAAAAAAACCAACTATTTTGATTTCCGAGCAGAATGTGCTTTTCAATCACAATTTATTTACAATCAAAAAGCTACAGCAGAAGAAAAACCACTGACAGTGTCCTTAAAACGCTGCCCTTATCTGTCACACTAACAGCAGGCAGACTGCACTGCGACACCAGCTAGCAAACACTTTCTTTACTTGTACCCAAGGCACCCAGGCAATAAAGAGCACTCCGTGCCTGAGGCAAGCTTCACTTACTCTGCAAATTAGGTCGCTCAAAACCTGAAAGGTCCTCAAGTCCGGTTATTCACCAACCCCTTTCTCATCAAGAGAGAAAGTACATGCTTGTAAGAAGAAGCGCTCATCTGTGGGAACTTCCTAATTAACTTGGTGCAAACCATGTGCAAGACATGGCAGATTTCCACACTGCTTCAGCATTTTAATTGGCAGAACCTGCTTAGCGACCCATTCACAGACCCTGGTAATTAAGCCAAGGTCAGCCTATGAAGGACTGGGCCAATCCCGGGAAACAATCGGTTTCCACGAAGCACAGCACACGCGCGTCTGGTTTACAGCATCTGAACGAAGTTAATGAGGTAGTGGCTGTATCACTATGGGAGATTTATACACAACAAGTTAACCTTCCGTAATGGTGCAGCAGTCATTAAAAATAATTACTAGCAGGGCATTCTCACTCACAATTATTAGCATCTATCAGGACATAATTAATTCAAGCTGCATTTCTGACAAAGCTAGTAACCACCTGCAAATCACTAATCAATATTCACTACTGTAACGTACTTGTTTGCAAAGCAAGTATAGCTTCCTCTAAGGCTTTTCTGAGTGAATAACCTGTAACTTCCAGTATCGCACGTCAAGCACTGTCAATAGTGTGGTCACAGTAATGGGTCAGGGCAGTACTGCCCTGTGCACAGTGCAAGTGAAGAGCTGGGATCCACTGCCGATGTGGAAACCAACGGCGCCTTCTAGAGACCTTAGAGGAAACAGCTGCTGACTTCAGCACAAGTGGGGCGACCTTGTCCCCTTCTCGCTCCCCCCCCAGAAGGAATGTACTGTATTTCACCCAGACTCCTCTCCACCTGCCCCGCTCCGGCCAGCCGCAGCGAGACTGTGCGATACTAGAGGGCCTGCGCCTCGCGGGATCCTCATCTAGGAAGAGCCGCTGCCCTCGGAGAGGCGGCCGGGCCGGCCACAGCCTGCTCTCCACCCCTGCCGCTCAGCACAGCACACGGCGCGCGGCCTGCCTGTCTCAGGAGCCGTGGGCCTCTCAGCCTCCTTTTCCTTACCCAGCTGGAAGCCAAAGTGCCCAACGCGAGGACTGAGGAAATCCAATGAGACAGTGCAGGGTGACACCGCAGTGTCAGCTCCCGGAGGCCAGGGCAGGAGGATCAGCCAGGCGTAGGAATCTGACCCAGCGAGGGCAGCACTGCAAGATGCATCTCAAGGCCCAATGAACAGGGCTGCGTGTGGTGGCACACGCCTGGCATCCCAGAACTTCGGAGGCTGAGGCAGGAGGCTCATTGTAAATTCAGGATCAGCCTGGGCTAAACGAGCTCAAGGCCAGCCTGAACTACACAGCAAGATCCTGTCTCGAAGAGAACCCCCCAAACCATATAGATATAGATAGATAGAAATGAATACAGGAATATCTGTGCAAAAGTATTTAATTCAGTATGTGGTAAAGTCCCAATAAGCACAGCCTACCATAATTATGCATTCTAAGGTTATTTTCCTATTAAAAAATTAACCTAAATGTAAAATGCAGGTGCCTGGGGAACTTAACCTGGAACATGCAGTGTATTCCTGCAAGCTTTAAGCAGTATCTCTAACCTGATAAAACTTACATGCTAGAATCTGATACTCCTACACACGACTATTTATTCCTGTACTGTGACATTTTAGAAACCTCTGTGCTTTCAATCCTTATCTTGCTAGAACAGTTTCCAGTCTACAGTCAGGGCAGCACTTTAGTTACTGGGTAACTACCCTGCCCTGAGGTAGCACACGACCTCCACCCCTGGGGTAAGCACAGCAGAGCTGTGTCCCTGCCACAGACCAGGTAACCCTCAATGCTTTCGAGTTTGGCTGGACAGTCCAGGAGACCCTGCTGTGCTGAAGGCGTCCACCGCGGGGTCAGCGTACCAGCGATGGGAGCTCAGGGACCGAATCCGACTGCGGGGTGGGAACTGCCACGCAGCAACTCAGCCCTGGCCACGCCTGAGCGCCTATGTCACATGCTGCGCTGCCTTCACTCAAGGCACTGGGGTAGAGATGAAGCTGCAGTCACCGCGTCGAAGCACCCGAGTCCAACCAAGTGCACTAAGATCCCGAGACCGCAGGGCCCTGCGAGCCAAGGCTGGAGAGCTGAAGCACCGGACGCCTGAGCCGCATCCTGAGAAGTGTGATGGGAGAGGCATGGCTACAGTCGGCACACAGCTTGGGGTGGCTCAGGTGTGGCCAGGACAGGAGGCAGAAAGCCTTGCAGAAGGCCCCGGCCATGCACAGGGCTGGACTCTGCAGTGGTGCAGGCGCGGACGCTGGCACAGGCAGGTGACATCTGGCAAGCTCTTGGGACGAGAGGGAAGCCCCACAGCAGAGCAGCAAGTGTAAGGAACGCAGAGGATAGTAAAGTGAAGCCATGGGGGAATGGGACAACACGTGATCATCTGTTCTCACCAGAGGCCCTAACCGCTGAGAGCCACCACCATCACAGCCCTAACTTGGACAGGGCCCATCCTTCACTCCTGCTCCGCAGGAGGCTCAGTGCGGAACCCGCCTCCCTCCTCCCTCCCTCCCTCTCTCCCCCTCCGCCCCGCTCCCTCGCCCACTCTCAGCCAAGTGCCCCTCCAGCCCCTGAGCTCCTCCTGTCTTCCCAGGATCTTTCACATGTGCACACCTAAACTGGCTTCGGGCAAGTCCAAGTTTTACAAGCTGCATCTGACCGAACTACAGCTTAAGAGAAGTGTAGGTACTGCAGTGCTTTAAGAAGAACAAAACTTAGAACTTCTTTCTTACCTGAGGCCCCGATGTTCGCCTTATCTTCTGGAATGAGATGCTTCTCCTTATTTAAATCTTCCACTAAAAGTCTGTCAAAATGCTCGATGCAGAGCCTGCTGTCGATCTGGTAGAGCAGCGCGGGGCACAGGTAGGTGAACAGGGCCGGGGAGATGGGGCTGTTGGCTCCATGACCAAAGTGTTTCAGCAGCTGAGTGCCGTTCAGACACTGCAAGGAAACCCACAGCACACGTGGTGAGAGGGTGCAAAGGATAGGCGAGAATCACTGTCTCACAAACCTACTCTACAGGACCCTGGGAAATCGCGGTGCCACAGCATCTAACCCAAATAAAGACTGCACAGGCACTTCCGGCAAGGGTACGTGCAACTACAGCAGTCTAGATCTTAAGACCTTTCATGGATTTTAACCATTCCTGCCCACGTGAAAGATCATAACTTATAACCACGACTCCAAGATTCTATGAGAGAAACAATTTCCCTGCCAAACTGGGCCCGTGGGTGGCTCCACTTCGTAACACCACCGCCTTCCCTGGCCGAGGTGCTTGTAGCCGGGGCACCTGCCTAGCACGTGCCAGGCCCTGGGTTCAGCGCCCAGTGCTGCAGCAGCAGCAAAATCCAGAAAAAAAAAAAAGACAAACACAGTACTGGGGAACTCAGCCAAGAGTGACTGAGGCGCTGAGCTGGAAGGCAAAAGGTGCGACTGCACCCCTGGAGCTTTGAAAACAGAGCAAGCGTGAGCCTTCAGCCAGGAGGGGGACGCCCTCCTCGAAGGTAGGGCAGGCGCCCAGCCTCGCCCTGGAGCCCCAGTCGCACACCCGAAAGTCACGCTGCCACCTCCATGCTATTTCAGCATTCCTGTTGATGAAACTCAGTATTTGGGGCCTGGGGTATGGCCCGCATGGCAAGTGTGAGGTCATGAGTTTGATCCCCGGTACTCCCCCAAATAAAACAGTATTTGGTGACAGCGTACTTCAAAGGTGGTCACTCAGATGGTGACAGTGACAGAGGCCAAAGGTAAGGCAGGTTTCTACGCGTGACGCTGCTGCCCTTCGGTCACACGCACATTAACAGGACAGTCACCCAACACGTTTTCCTGAGCCTTAATAAACCGCTAAGACAGAGTCAGCCAGTGTGTTGGGACACCCTTACGGAGACAAAAACTAACGAGCTTAACTTTTAAAAACCAAGGAGGAGTGAGCAGAGGAAGTGTGCTGGAGCAGGGAGACCCAGGGCACACGGGAGCCTCCCTCCCGCTTCCCCTGCAGTTTGGTCCAGCACACTTGCCCTGCACCCTGTGGCAGAGCTGAAGAGAAGCCCTGGAGGCTCCTGGCAGGCCTTTTCCCGGCCCTTCGCATGCACCAAACGCCTAGCAGCGGAGAGTGATGGCAGGGCCACTCAACAGCGGATTCCAAGATTGAGCGGATTCCACGATTTCGGGATTACGGAAAATAAACCCTGCCAGCCCCTGAAGAGGCTGGGTCAAGTAACAAAAAGTCCTCCTTTGCAAGTGTTTAGAAACCAGCAGATGGCAACAGTGAAATGTAACCTGGAAATTCATAGGAACGTGGTAAAATGAAGAAGTAAAACAAACAATGTTCTTTTTGTTTCCATGTTTTGAGATAGGAAGGTTTTGCTCTGTAGTTCAGGCTGGCTTTGAACTTACTATGTGGTCCAGACAAGACTTGAATTCACAACAATCCTCTTGCCTCAGCCTCCCAACTGCTGGGACTACAGGTACACACCATCACACCTCGCAGGAATGTATTTTCTAACTGTGTAAACACACAGTTCTGAGGAACTGCGCTCTGAGACTAAAATGAACACTAGGCACACTGACTTAGCTCATTTACCACTCCGTCAGGAATGTCACCTGACAACTTGTGCCAACAGCCGAAGCAAGTTAAAACACGACTGACCAGCCCACGGGCACCTTTACCTTTATCCCAAACACTCCAGGGACCTGCGACGTCCGGCGGCCACACTCACCTCATGGTGATGGTCGTCCTCGCTGTGGTCTTTGTGGCTAGCAGCAGAATACATCGCGCTCTTTCTGACGTGTGGCGCCTCCCGCTTCCGGGCGTGCCGCAGCTCGCCCTCATCGTCGGGCGCGTGGTCCTGATGGCCGTGCCCGGGGTCATGGCCGCTGTGCTCCGGGTGGCCGTGGGGGTGGCCGGGGTTATGCACTCGGTCGGGCTTGTGCACCCGATTGTGCTCGGAGGGCTCGCCCTGGGCGTGGGCCGGGGGGAGGCCCGGCGTGATGACCTCCGAGTTCTCGCTGTTCTTCCTCCCCTTGTCCTTCCGCCCCTTCCGCGGCTTGACTTCCGCCTGCTCCTGGGTCTTGTTGGTCTCTGTGGATGGTGCGTGGCTTGGCTCGCCGCGCTGCCCACGGGTGGTGGTGTCGTTCCGGACGTGGCGAGTGCCGTTGGGGTGGAGGTGGTGGTGCAGACGGTGGTGGTGATGGGGGCGGTGGCTGTGGTCATGCACGTGTTTGTCATCGGACCTCGTGGACACTTCGCGGGTTTCCTTCTCAGGGTCACACTTGTGGTTCCTCCGAGCCGTGGCAGTGCTTGCAGTTTGGTTGTCTGGGCTGCTGGGGCCGTGGGCGTGCTGGTGGCCACGTGAGTGGGAGTGCCTTCCCTCCTGGACAGCCAGCATGTCCAAGTGGGAGACGTGGTCATGGCCCAAGTCCTCGTGACTGATCTCCACCACTCTGATCTCTCCCAGGCCCAAGTTTGTTAAAAGTCTCTCCAGACCGAAGAAGGACAGCCTTCCATTTTCCCCATATCGGTCAAAGAGTCTCTCAATGTAGTACCGCTGCTCGTTCTCGGCATCCTGCAAGGAGAACCTGCTGGGCTCGGGCTCCGCCACCCCGTGGTGGTGTCTGTGCAGCTCCTCGGGGCTGTGGCCGTGCTCCTCGTGGCAGTGGCTGCAGTGGTGGGAAATGAAGGTCAGCAGGCAGATGAGGCAGAACTTGGTGTGCACGTGCACCTTCATTTCTGCTCCTCCTGCAAGACAGGAGAGACGAGCTTTAGTGTGTGGCAGCGCACACCCATCTGCACAGCCCCTCCCACAGATCCAGCCCCCCAGGGCAAGGCCTCATCCTGCTTCCTTTGTGGCTCAAATCGTTCTTCCTTCTCCAGTTCCCTATAAAAATGGTCCTTTTCATCTGGGGGAGGGAGGACACACCTGGATCGCAGCTACTGGAGGGGCTGGGGCAGAAGGGGTTTGGGGCCGGGGGAACTCAGATGGCATGGGATGTAACTAAGTGATCCCTAGTAATGTCAAAAAGAGAAAGGCTGTATGGGTTTTTTAACCACTCATGACAGCGCAGTCTTCCAAACCAATTTGCACTGGCCGCTCAGAGCTCAAGGTCCACAGTGACCTCACGTGAACACCAGGGCCTGTGTCCTTTGTTTACCCCAGGAGGACAGGCTGTAGGCCTGGCTGGCTCTCTAGAAAGAAGTCTGCTGATCTCTGCATGCAAAGGAACTGGCCAGTAAAGTAAGCCAAAAAGATGTAAAAATGATAAAATGGGGAAGAATTTGGGGGGGAAAAAATCAAACTGTCATTACTCACAAGTGGCAGAATTTGATAAGAAAATCCAAAAGGTTAATTTTGTAATGTTGCTGCATGTGAGAGCGATGGCCTAGATGGGTCCTATTTTTATCTATTAGAAGAATTAGAGAATGAAAGTGACAAACAGTACCACTAGCACTTGTAATAGCAAACAGCAATAAGCCTAAGGCCAGACGTGCAGGACCTTTACACTGAAGGCGCCCATGGGGAAGCCCTGCACAGGGGCTGTGCGACTCTCAGGACTGGATGAGCCACAGATCCGGTACGATCCCAATCAGCCCTTCAGGGAGGCGAGCAGGCCAACACACTCTTGGGGAAAGACGAGAGCCTGCTCTGCCGCTTAGGAAAGGCAGTGTGGCATCTGTCGCGTGAAAAAATAGGCCAAAGCAAACTAAGAATCTGAAAGCAGGAAAGGACATTCGTATCCTTGCCGCTTGGTCAATTCTATTTCCTCTCAGGAGAAAAAGAAATAAAACCCGACTCCTACAAAAATCAATTACAGATAGACTATGAACCTAAATCTGAGACAGTTAATATTAAAGCAATAAAGAACTGTGCTGCTCTATAATAGCCACAAGTAATACCCAGAAATTTAACTCCAAATCTACCAAAGTTAAATGGAAAATTCAGCTTTGCTGTTACCCTAACACATTTTAAATGTTACCCTAACACATTTTAAATGTTCAGTACATAGTTAATAGTCACCATCTCGGATTGCAGACTATGGAAGGTGTCCTTCATTACAGAAAGTTCTGAGAACAGCACGTCTCTAGAATCCAGAAATTATTTATATAGTAAGCCTATTATATAATTTGTAAGTTTTCTAGAACAGATGAAATTAACTTCCTATCACAGTCTACTTAACTCTTACATATGAAGTTTATTGGCAGGCCAGGGATTTAGCTCAGTGGCATAAGTGCCTGCCTGGCGAGCATGAGGCCGTGAGTGAGTCTGATCCTCAGGACATTGCTTCAGTGCTATGATTTTTAAATAGACATGTATTTTACGGTTACTGCAATTCAGACTCACAGCTTTTCAAGTGCCCAGCACCTACACAGAGTCAGCGGCTACTGTAAGGAGAAAGTACAGATTTATGTTTACTTGAGAAACTAATTTTAAGGTCTTCAAGAAAAGATACAGCTGGTATAGCAGTGCACACCTATAATCCCAACTACTTTGGAGGTTGAAGCAAGAAGTTTCCAAGTATAAATCCAGTTTGGATAACTTAGCAAGAACCTGTGTCAAAGTAAAACTTTCAGAATGAGCCAGAAGTGGAGCTTGGTGGGGGAGCTGTGCACCAGGCCCTCGGTTCAGTCCCCCTCCCCAATGCAGAATCAATGAACCAAAGGGCCGAGCCGTGGGCTGGCAAAAGACCATCACAGCGTACAGTCAAGAATATGTAAGAAACTCCCTCAAGTCAATGAAAAATCATGGAGCGACTCAATGGAGCATGTGCAAGCACCGCCTGAGAAAAGCCCATTACTGAGAAGTCATTAGGGACATTTAAATTAAAACTCGCATTAGAGTCCAAAAAACTCACCAAGAAGACTAAGATACAAAAGACTGCCAGTAACAAAAGCAGGCAAGGATGTGGCGTTAGGTGACCCTCACACGCGCTGTGACAGCGGAGAGTGGACTCCGGCAGGAAAATTCTTTTCACGATCTGACAAAAGCGGAAGGGGAGCACATCCCCCCCCCCCCCCCGACAGTGACTGCATCCCTGAGCACGTACACGCGCAGAGAATCACACGCACAGAGAAACGCACGCACAGGGACACCAGAGGACAGCAGCGGAAAGGCTCCGGAGGTCGGGATGTGTGGTGTGTTCACCAACCACAGCAAGAACCAGAGTCGGCCCTCGGGGTGGGGGGCGCCAACGGGGAGCAGCTTCACAGTCACCAGACCCTAGAGGGCAACCCTCAGGGCACACCGCGGACACAGTAAGTAACGGGTCAAGTTAAAAACAAGCAAACCAGACTGGGACAATGACTCCTTTTTGAAAACCAGATAGGCCATAACTGGGAAGAAACCTCACCGCAGGGGATCGAAGTGCAGCCCTGCTCTCCGGAGCAGTGGCACACAAAACCTGCTTTTTTCCAAGCTCTGGAGATTGAATCCAAGGCCATGGGCCTGTCAAGCACAAACTCTGCCACTGAGCGATACCCCATAGTGCTAAAAGTCAAAATTTCCTCCAGTAGAAAACAATGAGAAGCTGTGTTCCAAAATTACATCATGCCTTGAAATGAACAGAGTAAATGAGACCTATGGGATCATTAAAAGCAAAATTCTGTAAGACATTACTGAAACACTACAAAGTGTAGAAGCCATATACAAATTTAATTCAAGGCTGATCAACATGCAGTAGCTGGGCTGTTTTGTGCGTGTGACTTGATATAGGGAGGCCACCCTGACTCCATTTTGTCCAGGACACATCTGGTCGACAATGTTATGGGAGAAGTGCAGGCCTTGCAACACTGCCCCCCGCCCAAGGTAAAAACATGAGGTCCTGGAGGACAAGCAGCAAACAATTGCTGAGCCCAAGCAATTTGAGTTTCCTTCTTCTTTATCTCAATAGAAACTACTTGCTTAGGCTGGCTGGGCAGCACCCATTTTGCTGACCCTTAGTGAGTGCGCCCTTTATTTTCCCTTTGCAGAACCCCAACAACTTGACAAGCAAAAATTCTTTTGGACAATCAAAATCCAGATAACTAACATTAACAGACTTTTCCTAAAGTTACGCTAACCAAATTCACGGAACTGGTACGGGTCAGGAATCAACAGAGTGCTGACCGTGAGAAGGGTCCTCCTCCACACCACACAGGAGTCCAAAAGCCCACCCTCAACAAGAAAACATGGAAGGATGTTGCTGTGAACAGGGTTGGTGGAAGGTTTGTTAAACAAGACACAAAACATGATACTAAGAAAAAACTTTGATTAACTAATTTCTTTAAAAATTACAATAAAGAATGTCAAACAAAGCTTATAACAAGTCATGTACTAGAAGATAATTTGTAAGACATGTGTGTAAACAATGCATACAGAAGATCAGAATATATAAAATATACATCAGTAAGAAAAGACTTCTAATGTTACTTATACAGATAACTACATAAAAGATACCCATGGACTGGCTGATCCAAAAGTACGATGTGTGCTTAAATAGTAGAAGATATACTGCCATTGATCCCTTCAAAAAAAACTCTCCCTTTCTTTAAGCACACTCATCCTATCACGGAAGCCACTTTCTGAGGCAGTGCTAGAAGTTTCCGCTCATGTCCTTACCAGAGGGGACCAGGAGTATACAGAGTGCTTCGTGTGCGTGCTAGCCAACAGAAAGGCAGGCTTGTGGTCCACCTTATCTACCAGAAAATCAAACTGCCGAGAAAGGCAGCAAACATTCCAAATGGATTCTGGGCATCGGGGAGGCTGAGACGGTGCAGCTACAGACCACTGGAGACTGGGTTGTTAATCTGGATGATGTAAATCAAGACAATGCTCCAAGGCACACACAGGAGATAGTAACAACACTGCCACTGAAATCAAACAATACTAGCAAACACTGCCAGCAGAAATATATACCAAATGGAATACGGACACATTTTATAGTCCCCAAATTCTGTTAGCTAAACCTGCATTTGGGTGCAAGGGAACAATTTCAAGAATTTTTACTGCAAGATTTTTCAAATGTGAGCTGCCTTGTACTGTGATGCTTTGGTTCCAAGTATCAAACTGCACAGGCTGGTTAATCAAAGAAAACATGCCCATAAAAGGGAGCAGAGAGAATGGATGACCCATTGCAGTCTCCGACACCCACAGGCTCACCCTCATCCGCAGGCCTGTCCTCCATCTCGAGGAGACACTGCTGTCATTATGGTCACTCTGCACTTACTCTCCAAACAGATGGAGCTCTCTCCCGTGTCAACCAGGGAGGACCACCTTTCCTCAAGTCCCCCCAAACCTTCCCTGACGATCAGGTCTGTATCACATGCCCAGGCCAAAGCCAAACACCCGTAAAAGAAAAACTGAGCTCGGAGAAAGCTGATCAGCACTTGCTGCCCTGGGCTGAGAAGCTGCCTCTCCTAGGTATGTGCACTGGGAGAGGGAGAACTCAGGCGAACCCTAGGACAGACAGCCCCCAGGAGAAGGATGTGAGAGTTCAGGACACAGCTAGGCAGCACAGCGCCTGCCTGAGAAGTGCAAGGTCCTAAGTTCCACTCCCACCCCCCAAATGGAAAAGGAGGCAAACACACAATGATGGCTGGTATGGAAGCATCAGTTTGCGGCGGCGACCAAGTGTACCAGTGAAAGAACAGATAAAATAAGTGGGGTATACTATGCAACCACTGTGGTCACACTGTGCACACGGGAGGGAACACATATTAATATGAATACTTCAAAAACATAAAAAAGTAAACTGCAAGCCAGGTGG